TTTGTCTATCATATTTCTTCTAGTGGCTACGATCTCACTCACCTCACTAAGGGTGCTCACTCCTCCAAGGCACCTGAATCCCCTCTGATCCTTTTAAGTGCGCTTTTTCTCTGCTCCTGTTTTGAAATTTTGAATGGACTTCTGAGTTTATTTCCACATATTTCATATTGTAAGATAAGCCTGGTCCTGGACTCTTTCTGCCCCTGCCCCTTTCACTTGTATTCCAGGCGAAACATTTCTCTACCTCAGATTCAGTCGATAAAATTGATGATAAACAACAAATTTTATTTGATTTCTATCAATTAAGAACATTAAAACATTATTATTTAGACATACAAAATTTATCTTAATGCACAGTAGAGTTAGTAAGGCATCTAGATTCTCAATACTACACAACACAGAATGTTACTATGATTTTGATAAATTCAAACGTTAATAAAAAATAAATAAAGTATACATTGATTACGAATTGCTAAAGTAATGTTTTGCTTAACTGAGTTACATGTTTATCATTTTACATTATAAGAGCAGTAGCATCTATAGTCTCATTAAGTATGCATGTAAAAACTGAACACAAATCAAATTTGGAACAGGTAAATTATTAGAAAACCATATTTTGTTTTACAGATACTCTAAAGATCTATGGATTATGATACAAACAATGATCGATCTTATAAAATATGTAAACAAATCACATATGGGAAGATGCGTTACACACGAAGCCCTGGAAATTCCAGAGGTGGGACCAGGTGCCTAGAAAAAATAAGCGTTAGCATACCCTGTTGTCAGGTCACGACCGTCATGAGCTATGAGCTCTGTGTAACGAAAAGGCAGTTGGAACACTCAGTAGTTAAACTCAGTATAAAAACAAAGACCTTACAGTGGGAATGAAACATGTTAGCCAAAATACGACCAAATGAAGGTTAAATGAAGTAGTGATATCCCTGTAGCATATATCTGTGACTATATTACTTATCCATCTAAATATATGGTTTTTAGGAATGACTAATACAAAGACTAATACAGTTTTCCATGAACACGGTTCAATCTGCTTAGACAGACTGGGAATTTAATGTTCTAAAGGGTTCATTTAGCTAATTCATATTCCGAACAAACTCTGAAACTAAGTAACATTTCCTTTCCCAGCCTAATAATTTGTTCACTAATTTGAACTAGTTTTTCACCAAAGCTAAAGCGTTAAGATTTTGAAAAATACCACAGTATATTAATATAGTTTATATATTTACATGAAGGCAGATTTTTTTAAGGCTATACATGATGTTTAATATCAATTGACTTTACATATATTCAATATAGCATATTAAGGGGTTCTTTAAAAAGTTTACAGCCTTCTTGTTTTTCTCATACTCTATAGCTTCCTCATTTCCAAGAAACATTCTCAACTGTGTAAACCTATAGGGTTTAGCACAGACATATTGTTTGAACATTTTAAACTTAGACAATATTAATATCATAATTATTTTTAGTTATTAGCAGTGAAAGTAAAATGATATAAAAGTTTATTAAATCAGCATGTATATTATAAGTGACGCAAATTCGGTGACTTTATAATTGGAAAGAGGACTTTATTTTGTAAACAATTATTATCTTGTCAAAACAAATTGGATTTTGGTGTTGTTCAAATGCACTATAATTTGTTAGATCATCTTGTAATGAAATTGATCCGAATAGACCAATCAAGCCCATCGATAGTAAGTAATAAAATTTGAACGGAAATACAATGGTATTACTAAGAGTTTTGACTAAGAGCAATAAAATTGGGAACTTTGAAGTAAATAAGTAAAAGAGCTTAAGGCTAGAACTCCTGTGGTGCAGAGATGGGGACTGAGTCCATAAATATTAGTAATGAGTATTCACCTGTATTTAAGGGTGGTGCCATGTTGGGGTTCATAGGTCAACGGACAGAGCTACGGACAAAGCGTAGGTGATTATTGATGGCGAATTAGCCAATGAAATGCATTTTTATATCCGGGATCATGGATACCTACTGAGCACAAAATACCTTGTTTTGGTCAGAAAAGAGTATTCCCGTTTTCATTCCCGGTTTTATTCTCAGATTACTACATCTCTTTGGCATTTTATTTTGGGAATCATTCTTTTGGACTTTGGTTTATTTATTTATTTGGAGTTCGGTCTTAAACTCTTTATATTTTGGACGGGCCCTTTGGACATCAATATCAAAAGTGTATTGGTCTTTTCTGTTCATATTTCAGGAACGAATATTTCTAAAACTATATGATCACGGAAAATTGTAAATTGAAATTATTTAATAAACTTTTGAAATCGACGCAAGAGTTGTCATTGGCTTACATCGTACAAGTCAATTTGGTGCCGTGACCAGGATTTGCGAAGTACTGTGAATTGAATTAATGCTCGGAACCAGGAATGGAAAAAGATTACAAAGTCAATTCGCTACTTACTACCAAGGCGATGCGAAGTATAACTACAATGTCAAACGCAGAGGGAAAATGTGGCAAGGTAGGACGTAAATTTCTGACCCAGAAGTATCTATAGCCTGACCATGTTTTGATTTTTTAAATTTGATTTTTCGGAAATATTTTTGGGATATTGGTTTGGTTTCTTTTAAAGGATGTTTATAAATTTAAAGCAAAAGTTATGAAAAAAATGAAGAAAAAATTAAAATTTTTTTGTTAAAATAAATACTTTGAATATGTTGCGTGCATTCCTTGCCCTAGTATAAATAAAAGTTTTATAATGGTTTCATAAGATTGAGATATAAAAAAAGCATTATCTTGAAATTGAATTTCTGAACACAAGGAATGCATTTAATCATATTTGTATATATGTAGTGATAGTAGTTCGCTTGTAATCAATGTTGTTTAAAAAAGAAGAGAAATTATTAAGCAATAACTTGTAATGGACAGGCAAGAGAAAATGGTAATGAAGTTCACGTCACATTTATTGTCACCATTTTAGACATTGAATTTGAAAATTGACTATTTTTGTTTCGAAGTTTTTAAATCTTGAGAAAAGTGCAACACTGAATCAAAAAATACGTTGGAATTTATCGTGGACTAAATTTGAGGCATTTATTTTTAAATATGACGTTGGTCTGATACCAAGGACGGTGATTACGTCTGACCCAGTGTTAATGGGCCGTCATAAGTGTTTGTACTTATCCTGAGTTGAATTCGCTGCGAGGATGCGATTGTAAAAAGGATAGTACCGTGTTTATGTTTTTGAGTATACCGACTGTGGATATCACAAGAAGTTGTGAAAATGAGGAATACGACAGGTGATAGCAGTCATTTGGAGATGCTGACAGATGAAGAAAACGTTGGAGACTAATGATATTAACTGATTTTTGTTGTACTTTTGAACGGATGCACGAACAATTAATAAGTCAATAACAAATTCTGACGTTGGAGAACAAGAACTTCTTTTTATTCGGACTTAACTTTTGGACTCAAATTTAAATTTAAAGGTACGTGATACACTGATGGCTTCTAATTTGAAGGACGATGCTACCGTCTGGAGTGGTGATAATTGCACTCCGTCATCTACTAAATCACCAGGACTGTATCCGCTGCGTGAACTTCAAAAGTAACACGGTGACTTTTGTTACTTATATTAGTGTGAAATATAACTAAATTTTGATCTATACCTAAGTGTGGAATGAGAACATTGATTCCAAAGCGAACAAGTTTAGTGAAACGTAGTGAAGACGCCAGTAGTGAACAGTAGTGAACAGTAGTAAAACCGTATATCCACGTAGAGTTGTTAGGTAAACATATATTGGACACATATAATGGACCCATATAATCAATGTAATCGTATATATTGGACTTTATTTCGGGAACAAGAAGAAAACGTCCGCGAATGATTACCGTATGAAGTTAACAATTAAGAAATCGTTACTAAATTATTTTCGAGGACTATGGAATTTGTTTAATAAAAAGTTAACAGTGTTGCGGAATTACTTCCTATCTTGTGAACGAAATCAACTGTGACTAAGTTTAAAATTATGTCCCGGATCTGACGGAGAAATTTCCAGTGGCCACAGAAATTTTTTAGTGTGTGGGGACGAATGTAAACCTATAGGGTTTAGCACAGACATATTGTTTGAACATTTTAAACTTAGACAATATTAATATCATAATTATTTTTAGTTATTAGCAGTGAAAGTAAAATGATATAAAAGTTTATTAAATCAGCATGTATATTATAAGTGACGCAAATTCGGTGACTTTATAATTGGAAAGAGGACTTTATTTTGTAAACAATTATTATCTTGTCAAAACAAATTGGATTTTGGTGTTGTTCAAATGCACTATAATTTGTTAGATCATCTTGTAATGAAATTGATCCGAATAGACCAATCAAGCCCATCGATAGTAAGTAATAAAATTTGAACGGAAATACAATGGTATTACTAAGAGTTTTGACTAAGAGCAATAAAATTGGGAACTTTGAAGTAAATAAGTAAAAGAGCTTAAGGCTAGAACTCCTGTGGTGCAGAGATGGGGACTGAGTCCATAAATATTAGTAATGAGTATTCACCTGTATTTAAGGGTGGTGCCATGTTGGGGTTCATAGGTCAACGGACAGAGCTACGGACAAAGCGTAGGTGATTATTGATGGCGAATTAGCCAATGAAATGCATTTTTATATCCGGGATCATGGATACCTACTGAGCACAAAATACCTTGTTTTGGTCAGAAAAGAGTATTCCCGTTTTCATTCCCGGTTTTATTCTCAGATTACTACATCTCTTTGGCATTTTATTTTGGGAATCATTCTTTTGGACTTTGGTTTATTTATTTATTTGGAGTTCGGTCTTAAACTCTTTATATTTTGGACGGGCCCTTTGGACATCAATATCAAAAGTGTATTGGTCTTTTCTGTTCATATTTCAGGAACGAATATTTCTAAAACTATATGATCACGGAAAATTGTAAATTGAAATTATTTAATAAACTTTTGAAATCGACGCAAGAGTTGTCATTGGCTTACAACTGGCAAAAAGGGTGCGGAGTACAGAGTCCTCTTCTACTCCTTATCTCATATACAAACAGATCGACATGTAAAGCGACATGTAAAGCAACACAGACATTGACTGAAATATAAGCCCTTTTCCTAGTTAAGTGGCACTTTCTCTTCTCTTGTCTCATCTGCCTTATCCTGAATGTCCTTGTGTTTACATTTAAAGCTTGAACAGCAGATTTCTTTAAAACTGGCGCCTTTTGGAGTCAGGAAGTGCTTTTTCAAACGTAACACGACAGACAGGATACCACAAAGCATCTAAAAATTAGTTTTCATAAATTATTTCTTTTTAATCAAATAAAAACATAATACCGTCTATATCAAAATCGCACTCAAAAAATAAGGACAAAAACTTTTAATTTTCGGCAGGATTTCTGATATCTGTAGAGAACTGAAATCTTTAAAATGTGTGATATACGCCTGCCTTTACAAAAAACAACTTATTTTCAAGAAAACGAAAATAAATGATACACTGTTGAGACCTTCAATACTGCATGCCCATAAACTGATTATTCATTTTTTTTCTTGTTTCCATTTTTTGCCAGTTTTTATTAAATAACATGTATTTAAAATCTTTGAGCATTTTATAAATTATATATTTTTCTCAATGTTAGACATTTCTTAAATGCTCACAAATCTTTCGTGAAAAAATATGGTCATAAACCTCCTACCTCTAGAATTGAAATTGGTATTACTACAGCGAGGATATGTGTAGAGTAGGCACCGAGCTGAACGACTATGGCATGGAAACATCCCTGGTGAAAAATAAGATGTAAAAGAAAAAATAGTCTAAATTAATTAACTCCTGTGTAAAAGGATGTATATCGTTTACTTTCAGCTGACCTTTTAGTTGATAAGGATAATTTACCTTTGTTTTATACGTTCCTCTCAAAACTTGTGAATAACATTCGCCAGGGGCCATAGAGTACGTTCTTTCTGTGACTTTGAGACAGCAGGTCTTTGGAATTTCTGCGTTTGTTTCCTGGCAATCACCTTTAGTTGTACACCAAGGCGTTTTATCAAAGTCATTAGAGGTACCGCTTATAGGATCAACTCCACAACAATCTAGCTGTAAAAAAGTGTAAAAATTAACTACATATATATGGGATCTTCACATAATTTGTAATTGGATATGATTTTTATCCAAAGAGTTGTGTGTTGGCGAGGGAATAAAAACACACAACGAGTTGGATAAAAATCATATCCAACTACAAATCATATGAGATTCTTTTTATCCCATGTTTTACATTTTGTTTTATACACCACAATCAATGTTTTACGCTGCTCTTATATAGGACTCCGCTTTATTTGACTTCAATACGTTGACTCAAAGCCCATTGTGACCTCACAACTGTGGGATAAAACCAGAAGTCTCTGTTGAGACTGAAGCTCTACTGGTTTGTACTTAGAGCAAAGGAAGAGGAAAGTACTTAAGCAGTTGGGAATTGAAACTTTACACTAGCAAGAAAGAGAATAATGATCCTTGAATAAGTTTCTTTATGTTCTTAGTGTAGTCTACTTGCATGCCACATATTATAATCAGACTAAAACTGTATTTGAAGAAGCATTTTGAGAGTAACAGAAATTGCTATCTTTTTTAACCAAGGTAATAATGTTCATTAAAGTCAAAAACGGATAGAAAGTATTATTTACCTTAGTGTAGTCTACTTGTGTGCCAAGTTATATTGAAATCAGACCAAAACTGTAGGAGGAGTAGCATTTTGAAAGAATTTCACAGAAATTTCTATTTTTAGTAACAACACCTACACCATTCGTCGAAATCAAAAACCGATACACAGAATTATGTATCTTAGTGTAGTCTACTTGTGTGCCAAGTTACATTGAAATCAGACCAAAACTGTAGGAGGCGTACCATTTTTGAAGAATTTCACAGAAATTTCTATTTTTAGTAACAACACCAACACCATTCGTTGAAATCAAAAACCGATATACAGAATTATGTATCTTAGTGTAGTCTACTTGTGTGCCAAGTTACATTGAAATCAGACCAAAACTGTAGGAGGCGTACCATTTTTGAAGAATTTCACAGAAATTTCTATTTTTAGTAACAACACCAACACCATTCGTTGAAATCAAAAACCGATACACAGAATTATGTATCTTAGTGTAGTCTACTTGTGTGCCAAGTTATATTGAAATCAGACCAAAACTGTAGGAGGAGTAGCATTTTGAAAGAATTTCACAGAAATTTCTATTTTTAGTAACAACGCCAACACCATTCGTCGAAGTCAAAAACAAATACACAGAATTATGTATCTTAGTGTAGTCTACTTGTGTGCCAAGTTACATTGAAATCAGACCAAAACTGTAGGAGGAGTAGCATTTTGAAAGAATTTCACAGAAATTTCTATTTTTAGTAACAACGCCAACACCATTCGTCGAAATCAAAAACCGATACACAGAATTATGTATCTTAGTGTAGTCTACTTATATGCCAAGTTATATTGAAATCAGATCAATACTGTAGGAGGAGTAGCATTTTGAAAAATTGTTTACAGACAGACAGACGGACGGACGCCGGACGCATTACTATCGCATAAGCTCTTCTGGTCTCTGACCAGTAGAGCTAAAAACGATATCACATGAGTTATATCCAAGGGATAAATGGGTAAATATGGGATAAATGCTATAATTATAACACATGCAATAATTTCTCACACATTTGACTAATGTAAGTTAACTTTTTGTATATGGTTAGCAAAAAAGCATCGATTAGTTATTCAATAATTTACTTGAAGTATGCAAATTAATAAAAACATTAACATACAACATTTAAGAAATAAACAACGTTATTTAGTCAACATGGCGTTATGAATAGCAATTGCTCTGCTGGCATATTCCATGATGTGCGCTAGTGCATCATGGAAAATATGCCAGCAGAGCTATTGCTATTCATAATGCCATGTTCACTGAATAATCGTTGTTTATTACTTATACAGGGTGTTTCATCAAACATGTCCCGACTTTGCGGTTTCAATATAAAGTTAGAAAGTATTAAGGAAAGATATTTTTTTGCAAAAATGAAAACCACATAACCAAACAATTTTATCAATATCAAAAGTGAAGTAATTCTGTATCAAATTTCTTTTAAGACAGACATTTTTAAAGTTAGAACATCAGCAGCAGTTTTTGATTCAGCGTCATTTTGAAGTCACAATATTTTCAGTAACCATCATCATGTTGTCGCTGAAGTCCTTAATGGCAGATATTTTTGATGTTTCCTAGAAAGATGGTTTTCATTTGACTTATGCACTAATATTGATACTTTCGGAGATTTTACGTTTATATTGTTTAGTTTATAAAAATCTGTAAATCCATTTTTGAAGAAAAAAAAACCTCACAAACTAATTTTTAAGAATGTAATCAAAACTTCAGTGGAAAAAAATGTAAGGACTTTATTTATTTTGTTTATATCACAATGATATTGCATGAAAATGGGCTTTTAAATAAAGTAATAAGTTTTTAAATATTTTATTATTGTGCAAAAATATAGACATAAAAAGTCGGAACATGTTTGTTGAAACACCCTGTATTTGCACTCTTTGATGTTGTCAAGAATATCAGAGGAAATCCTGGCTTTCACTAAAAGTGAAAGTCACGGGTCTTTCGGATATGACCTTAAAAATGTAGGTCCCGTTTCACGGTAGGCGATGGCACGATAAAGAACCCTCACTGCTCAAAGGCCCTGAGTGCCGAGTATAGGTCTAAATTTGAAGCCTTTCACCAACATACGGTGACGTCTCCATAAGAGTGAAACATTCTCGAGAGAGACGTTAAACAATATACAATCAATCATTCAATCAATCAATCAATCTAATGTTCACAATCAAATTCAGAATTCCAAGACATGTACTTACTTTCATGTTCAAAAACATCTTATTCCAGGAATTTGAAAGTTCATTTGCGCTGTTGATTGACACATCAGTAAAGTTGTCTTGTAGACTCTTAAGCATTTGATCCTTGTTCATTTCCTTGATCTAAAATTATACATTAGACATCTTAATATTACATAACTATTTAAGAGATTGATAACTATTTGGGAAATTGACTTTTTTGGATTAATATCTTCAGTGATTTTTTTTCTTCATAGAAATAAATTCTTTTATTTTTTTAATTAAATATTTACTTATAAGGATGGAAATCTATTTAAGAGGTAGTTATGAGAATAAGCATGTTTTAACATGACGTGCTACTTTTGATAAGTTGGTGTTCATGGCTTCAGAAAACTTTTAATATTGTGTAAATGCTATTGTTCTTATATTGACCATACATGACATGTGAGCAACTATAACCTACCACTAGGTCGACTTCCTGCAGACTTATTTCATAATAAATGATAGATGCTTGAGCTTCTGATTGACATTATCTATGTAGTTTTTGAAGACTATGTCTTCCAACAATCTATTGGAATACCAATGGGCCCCCCGTTAATAACAGACCTATTTTTGTATTCACATAAACAAGAATTTGTCTGTCCAGAACTTTGTATGTAAAAAGAAGAAAACACTTGTTGTGGCCTTCAACTCGACATTTAGATATATCGACGACGTACTGTCAATTAACAATGGAAATGTCCATTCTTATTCCGATATGATATATCCAGGTGAGCTTAAATTAAAGATACAACAGAGTCTGACACATCTGTTTCATATTTGGATATTTTACTTAAAAAAGACGTTAATGGTAATCTAACAAACAAACTCTATGATAAACGTGATTACTTTAACTACAATTCAACTTCGTTACCGATGCAGCATATATATTCATCACCTGCATAGGGAGTTTATATATCTCAGTTGATTCGATACGCAAGAGTATGGTTTACGTATTAACAAATTCTAAAATGAGGTTAATTATTGACAAACAAGTTGATAAAACAAGAATATCAGCAGTCTCGTTTAAAGTAATCAATTCGTGTGTTCTATGGTCGATACAATAACCTTATCAACAAATTCATTTTATCAATTATCAATGCTGACTAACATTTTTCTTACTTAATGTCAGTCCATTATCTATACACTAAATTGAGGACACATTTTTCCCGATCATGTCAAGGAGCTCACGGCGGGTGTGACCGGTCGGCACGGGATGCTCACTCCTCCATGGCACCTGATCCCACCTCTGATATTTCGGAGGTTCGTGTTTGCTCTGCTCTTATTTTTTATTGTTTTATGAATCTTCAATACTGTTCGTTATCTCCATTTGTTCATTTTATTGAAGATTTCACTATATATGCAATGTATCCTTGATCAATTCATCGGGATCACAATGAGTGTAACCGGTCAGTAGGTGACGCTTGTGATTCTTGGCCACATGATCTTTGTCTGGATTTTTAAAGATTCATTGCAGTTTGTTATCTTCAATTTTTGCAAATATTCAACAGTAGGGGTTCAACAAATGTAAAGAGTTAAATTTAGGAATGACCAGATTTGCTTTATTATCTTGTATCATTTTATGATTGAATCATACAATGGCATTATGCCTTTAAAAAGCTGACCAGTCATCACATTGACCTAAACAGTGCACAATGGCAAATGCAATGACTTACCAACGCTAGAAATACAATATCGAATATTCATAGCAACTTTCACTTCCCCATCTTCATGTTCTTGCTTGGTGGATATTGTATTCATCGGGTAGCTAAACCATCATATCGAGATCAAATACAGCAGTAACATTTAACTGTTTTATATTGCAGAATAAGCTTGTACCTGAATTTTAGGGATAAACACAACAAGAATGATTATGGTACCGACACAAACAAGGAAACTCACAACAGACAACTGAAAAGATAAAGGAAATTTAGTATAAGTATCGGGAATATGAATATCTTCAAATAGACAAATTCCATATTTACAAAATGTACAAAAAATACCTACCAAAATTAAGAAAACTTTCCTCCTCTTTACTCTGATTGCTGTCAGTATACCCAAAACAGCTCCTGGGAACGTAACCACTCCAATGACAATAAGTAAGATTGGAAGGATACTGATTTGGTCTCCGAGTCTGTCTGAACCAGCGCTGATGCTGTTAATGACTGGTCTTATTTCACGACTTGCTAGGGTTCCGCCAAATAATAATATCCCAAGTACCAAAGAGATGATTCCAAGTAAAAACTGAATGAAAACATTGAATGGCGTTCAAAAATTTTGTTGAAGAACAGAATGCAATTACATGAGTTTTAAGATTTCAGTTTGAAATAATAATTAATTGACATTTTATTGAATTCCAGAAAAGAAAGATATTACAAAACAGATTTATATCAACAGTATCATGCTTTTACCAATATTTTGAATCAACTTTTATTGATGTTTTCTTATTTAACTGCTTAAGGTATAAATTAAGGACTTTTTAAAAAATGGTTTATACGTATTGCATCTCAAAACACCGTCTTCTTTCTGATAAATTTCCATATCAGACGATCTTCTTTGAAATTTCAGTGTAGATCTATATGAAGCATTACTTTGTTTTAAGCTACATGTAAAGTTCATCATTAGTATGGATAAAAAAAAAATCAGGAAGTTGTACAAACCAAACAAATACTAATGGTCATCAATGAAATAGTTCCGAATTTCCTCCAGTCTGGCATGGTGAAGTCTAAAACTGAAAATTGAAAAAGAATGTTGTATAATTTCTGTTAATGAGTATGTTGATATGAAATGCGATTGTATATGTGTATTATATTAAATATCTTACAAAGAAATGTTCGATAATTCCTTAAATGACTTGTGACGCTACAAGTATAATTTCAAAAGAAAACAAGAGGCCCATGGGCCACATCGCTCACCTGAGAAGCTTTGACCATTCTGTTCTTTACCAGATTTCCCCTTATAATACATAATGCATTCCCCACCCTACCCCACTGATCATAATTAAGACATTTTGAAATCTACACTACCCCAGGATCCTTCCATGTGCACATAAGCTTCAGCTTTTCTGGCCCAGTGGTTATTGAGAATAAGATTTTCAAAGATTTTTCCTATATATTTCAATGTAAAACTTTGATTCCCAATTGTGGTCCCGCCCTTCCCCCGGGGGGTCATGATTTGAACAATTTAGAATCTACACTACCCCATGATGCTTCCACATAAGTTTCAGCTTTTCTGGTCCAATGGTTCTTGAGAAGAAGATTTTCAAAGATTTTACCTATATATTTCTACGTAAAACTTTGATTCTCCATTGTAGCCCCGCCCTTCCCCGGGGGGCCATGATTTGAACAATTTAGAATCTACACTATACCACGTGCTTCCACATAAGTTTCAGCTTTTCTGGCCCAGTGGTTCTTGAGAAGAAGATTTTCAAAGGTTTACCTATATATTTTCATGTAGAACTTTGATTCCCCATTGTTGCCCTGCCATTCTCCCGGGGGTCATGATTTGAACAATTTAGAATCTACACTATACCAGGATGCTTCCACGTAAGTTTCAGCTTTTCTGGCCCAGTGGTTCTTGAGAAGAAGATTTTCAAAGATTTTTCCTATATATTTCTATGTAAAACTTTGATTCCCCATTGTGGCCCCGCCCTTCCCCCGGGGGCCATGATTTGAACAATTTAGAATCTACACTACCCCAGGATTCTTCCAAATAAGTTTCAGCTTTTCTGGCCCAGTGGTTCTTGAGAAGAAGATTTTTTAATGACCCCACCCTATTTTGTCTTTTCTTGATTATCTCCCCTTTTGAGGCGACTTGGCCCTTTATCTTAAGAATTTAAATTCCCCTTAACCCAAGGATGCTTTGTACCAAGTTTGGTCAAAATTGGCCCAGTGGTTCTTGAGAAGAAGTCAAAATGTGAAAAGTTTAAAGACGGACGGACAGACAGACAGACAGACGGACGGACGACGGACAAAATGTGATCAGAAAAGCTCACTTGAGCCTTCGGCTCAGGTGAGCTAAAAATATATCGTAAAAAACTATTTCTATTTCTTTATCAGAGGAGAGAATCTTAATTAGAATTACACAGTTTAAGTCTTATATTTCCTTACGGAAACAGATGTAGATCTATTGTTTCCTTGTTTTAAAAAGTCCTTTATAAAAATTAACATTTCGCTATTTTCTTAATTAACAAACCGTGTTTTTTTTAAAAGGATATTTCTAATTGTCGTTTTAAATCTTTCCCGTAGCCACTTTAATATGTATACTACTGATAATTATATATTTGAACGTACGATTGCACATTTACTTTCTGTTTGATCTAGATCTTATAAAATGTGCCATGAATGTTTTTCTTTTGTAAAACATTACTATATAATGCTAGCATTATGACAAAGAGCTTCACATTTAAAATTTCAAGTAAACTTGCTTGTTAGTTTGAAGTGCAAACAAAAACAAAGAGAAATTTTATTCTCAATTAGATTAATGATAAATACATACCGTGATCTCAGGCAGGCTACTCATAAATAGAATTGGTTTTTACCTGACTTGTAGGGAACAAAAATATTCGTACTTTCGGTTTCGACTACAACCAATGTCGAACCATTCTGCATAATATTGATTTATCGACATTAATTAGTCTGAAATGCAAAAGTATTCAAAGAGGAAAGAACAGGCTATTCCAATGCTTACCTAGTACATTTCATTTGTTTACTTCTAGTTTTTTTCAGGTTTCATGCAGAATTTGTGATTAATTAACAGAAACGAAGGAGGACTCTTTGTACATACATGTAATTGGATCAATACATTACCTTAAGATATTTTTAGGACAGGATAGAATTTGATAGCCAAATTTAGTTTAAACTTCGCATTTAAAAAAAAAACTTTGTGTTGTCTTGATTCAGATACTGAATTATTAACGAGGAAAATGTTAGTCAGCGTCACTGAAATAGATGGAGTTATCTTTTACTTCTGTTAAAGTCAATATTATTAAGGCGAAGCACTTGTTTCATAGGGCTAACATAATCGATTTAATATCAGAAAAACATGTCAACTTATTGTCAAACAAAACACAAAAAACTGTGATATGTTCGAAGATTTTAATGTAAATGCGAGTTTTTTAATTAATTATGTTTCAGAATACAAGTACATAAATAAACAACCACAATTAGGGGGACATTAGAATTTACAGGAGCTTTTATGGAATAGCTGTTCCTCAAAGCAAACATTCATTTTGACAACGAGCTCGAGAAACTTGAGAAAATTTAATATCAATTTCACAGTATTTCTATGTAGAATCAGAATGCTTCAACGGAGTACTTCTTAAAAATGGAACTGGTAAATTTACGTACTTTGTCATTGGTCAGCTGCAAAATAAATTTGTTAAAAACAGTCTGGTTGTACACACAAGTACTTTGAAGTTGACATCAAGAAGATGCTTGAGTTTTTGATTGACAATATTTATGTGGTGTTTGAAGATCAGGTCTTTCAACACTCTTTTGGAATTTCCATAGGTACCATTGCGCCACGTTATTAGTAAACCCATTTCTGTATTTATATGAAGCAGAATTTGTCCTAAATTTTATTCATGAAAAGGAGAAAACACTCGCTGTGCATGGCTTTCAATTCGACATTTGGAAATATCGAAGATGTATTGTCAATTGACAATGGTTATATCCATTCTTATGTCGATACGATATATCCTGGTGAGCTTGGGATAAAAGATACTACAGAGTCTGACACATCTAATTCATATTTCGATACTTTACTTCAAAAATACGTTAATGGTAATCTAGCAACAAAGCTCTATGATAAACGTGATGACATTAACTTTAAAATCGTCAGCTCCCATTACTTATGCAGCAATATACCTTCATCACCCGAATACGGAGTTATCTCTTAGTTGATTTGATACGCAAGAACATGCACTTCGTATGAACAATTTCTAAAACGAGGTAAATTATTGACAAACAAGTTGATGAAAGAAGAATATCAGCAGTCTTGTTTAAAGTCATCATTTCGTAAGTTCTTTGGTCGATACAATGACCTTGTCATCAAATACAATTTACCATTGAGTCAAATGATGACCGACGTTTTTCATACTAATTGTTAGTTCATTATTTATACACTGAATTGACAGCGGATTTTCCCGTTATGTCCCGATCATGACAGAGAGCACACGGCGGGTGTTGTATCATGAAAACAAGATGGTTTGAGAGACACTATGCGCCCGGCGGCAACAAAGTTCGAAAAAAGCTATTTTATCAGTCTTACACTTGGATACGAAAGTATTTTAAATATTCATATAAAGACTATATATAATCATATTTATTATAAAACTCACAATTTTGAATTATACGCATGAATATCATAATTACAGTACATGAATTATATTTTGTCCCTTACACCATAGCATTATTTACATTAATAAAAAAAATTCTGACCTATTCATATATAAAACTGGCACATATCCATTACATGGACAGTGCCATCTGCCTCGAGACCTGCGGGTACTTGTCAGGCATACAATTACGTCACACCCCCAATGTTTATTTAGCTGTACACACCGACGGACTTCACACCTTTAATCGTACTAATTTACACAAAACATATTCTGGGGGAAAACAAACACTTGCACAATAAATATGGCATTTTTTTGAAAATCATTACTCTAAACGGAATTGCATGAAGCACATTAAACTAAAAGAAGATTATTGTCTTAATGAAATAATGTATAAAAAGTAAAAACAACAGGGTAAATCCCCTTTCTTTCATCTTATGATGTAAACAAACTTGCTTTAATCTCAAAGTCCATAAAACAATACAAAATAGGAGCAGAGCAAACACGGACATCTGAAACATCAGAGGTGGGATCAGGTGCCATGGAGGAGTGAGCATTCCCTGCTGACCGGTCACACCCGCCGTGTGCTCCTTGTCATGATCAGGAAATAACGGAAAATCCGTCGTCAATTTCATATTTTATGTCTAGATTAAAACATTTTGTAACACCTGGACCTTAAAATGTAGGCAGACCTTCTCATATACAAGGCGGAACTTATATGTTATTGCATTAAGTACCCCCAGACCTTTAAACGAGGCGTACCAAATATGTGACACCGGTTGCAATTAGATGCTCACTCCTCCATGGCACCTGATCCAACCTCTGATGTTTTGGAGGTCTTTGTTTGTTCTGATTCTATTTTGTATTGTTTTATGGACTTTTGATCTTTAATACTGTTTGTTATCGTTATATGTTTCATTCATTCCATTTTCTGTAGAAGCTGTTGGTTATAATATTTTAGCCTTGATTTGTTTTATTTATCGTGTGAAATAATTGCATAAGAAGTTGCATACGACAGGAAAAGTTATAGTGTATTAGAGAACATTTACTTACCGGGGGCATTAAGCAATATACCATCACCTGAATATGGGTTTTATATCTCTTAATTAAGTCGATTTCCAAGAACATACTCTTTGTACGAACAATTTCTAGAACAGTTGACCGACAAGTTGATGAATCAAGAATATTAAGAGAACCGTTAAAAGTCATTATTTTACAAGTTCTATGCTCGATATAATGACCCTCTAGAAAATACAATCATGACGTTTTTGACACTCATTTTAATGTCAATACCCCCGGTATTTACACACTGAATTAGAGCCGATTTTAACATTTTTTTATCATGTCATGGAGCACACGATGGGTGTGACCAGTTGGCAGGGGATTCTCACTCCTTCACGGTACCTTATCCAACACCTGATGTTGCAGAGGTCCGTGTTTTATTTGCTCCTGATTTGTATTGTTTAAGTGATTTTTTAAGCTTGAATACTGTCCCTCTCCATATTTCAATAAGTCTCAGTAAAGATAATGAAAGTCTTGTTGGAAATAGAAGATAGAGTACTAAAAATCATGACCTTTCCCAGTAACAGCACACTATAGGCTATGTAATAAATTAAGTAATTCAAGTCAAGAACATTGTAAAAAATTTAATGTAAAAAGAAGATAATGAATGTCTAGACACAACATTAGCAAAACAATATGAAACATTATGAAAATACATACACGAAATACACAGTAATCGAATCAATTTAGCCTTCATAATGATGTCCAAGAGTATTTCTTCAGCAACTTAATCGGTGATTATTCACTTTTACTGCTGACAACAAGCGTACATATAAAAAAGCAATTACTCGATTAATATGATAAAAGTGAGATATAATTGTCAGTGACTGAGGATAGAAAATAAATGCATATTTTAAAAACTTGTCTTTCAAACGAGTGACTTTAAAAAGAGTGGTGTAGATTAAATATCATACAATATTAAATGAATAAATCAATCAATATAGGATCTCCAGTGATTTGGGTTTTTTTTTAATCCCTGAGCTTAGTCAAAGGGACAAAATCAAACGAGTTTGGTAAAAATCATATCCAACCACAAATCACTGGAGATTCTTTTTATTCTGTGTTTTGTACATAGCTATCAGTGATTTACACACCTTTATATGAATTTCGTTTTATTTTACTTCACTCTCACGCAAAACCTAGTGTGATGTCACAGCAGTGAGTCAAAAAATATCCAATGAGTGACATCCATGTAGTGGTAAACATTGGATGGATTGAAAAATAGTAAAATCCCATGTAGAATATTTAAATTTTGATTGTATATGATAAAGATTCAAGTTGATTTTTTGGTCGCCACGTTCCTTGGCTTCATTATAATTTTATTCCGCTCAATGGATGACAGGCTGTTGGATAACAAAAGGCCAGAATCAACAGACATCTGTATAAAAAAAGAAAAAATGGTTTAATTGAATATATTCATGTAGTTATATTAATCTAAACTCTTGTAAAATCAGTATTACAAAACTCTTTCATACACATACACACAAAAACAAAAATTCTTTAACACACGTATTTCTTTCTATATACTAGTACCATTTTTTAAAGGGGTATTGTATTATTGTATTATTTCTCGCTGACAATATTGAAAGCTAATTCTCCGAGTTTATAATTATAATCGTTGATATTACGTAATACCACACCACAAGAAGAACAAGAGGCCCAGGGGCCACAGCGCTCACCTGAGCACATCACGCTTGAATTTATCCCCCCCTCCAGGCGTTCATCATTTGAACAAATTAGAATCTACACTACCTGAGGATGATTCCATATAAATATCACTAATCATAGCTTTGAAGTACTTGAAAAGAAGATTTTAAAAGGTTTCCCTATATATGCCTATGTAAAACTTGGGTCGGCCATTTTGGCCCCACCCTAGCCCCAGGGGTCATGATTTGAACAAACTTGAATCTACACTACCTGAGGATGATTCCACATGAATTTTATCTTTCCAGGCCCAGTGGTTCTGGAGAAGAAGATTTTTAAAGATTTTTCTTATATATTCCTATGTAAAACTTGGGTCGGCCATTTTGGCCCCACCCTTGCCCCGGGGGTCATGATTTGAACAAACTTGAATCTACACTACCTGAGGATGATTCCACATGTGTTTCATCTTTCCAGGCCCAGTGGTTCTGGAGAAGAAGATTTTTAAAGATTTTTCCTATATATTCCTATGTAAAACTTGTGTCGGCCATTTTGGCCCCACCCTTGCCCCGGGGGTCATGATTTGAACAAACTTGAATTTACACTACCTGAGGATGCTTCCACATGAGTTTCATCTTTCCTGGCCCAGCGGTTCTGGAGAAGAAGATTTTTTAAAAATGCCATTAATCTTTAACAAATTCATGATTATCTCCCCTTGGAAAAGGGTGTGGCCCTTCATTTGAACAAACTTGAATCCCCTTTACCCAAGGATACTCTGTGCCAAGTTTGGTTGAAATTGGCCCAGTGGTTCTTGAGAAGAAGATGAAAATGTGAAAAGTTTACGACAACGACAACAACGACGACAACAACGACGACGACGACAGACGACGGACAAATTTTGATCAGAAAAGCTCACTTGAGCCTTCGGCTCAGGTGAGCTAAAAACACAAACTGTCATCAGCTCAAATATCAGTATTTTGGCAATTGATCTTTATTTTTAAATTCCTTGGTTATCCAGTTATTAAATGCTCATCAGTTTAATCAAAAATAATATTGAATGTGAATTATCTACAAAATGAGCCCAATTAGCCATTCAACAAAGTACAAATGTAACCGGGAGGGATGTAAACATTGACCAAATAACACCCTGATGATTACTTCCTCTTGGAATGTTTATTGTCATTTAGTGTCACGTCAACACGTAGATGGAATTGCTTAGTAATGAATAAAACTTAAAAGTTTGAATCTTTCCATAACATTACTAGTGACAAGATCTTCAAGATTTACATATGTGCATTACAACTCAATATTTATACAGTTTATATAAAATTCAGTCGTTGTGCTCTACCTTGATAATAGGAGTTATTTTCATGATGTTAAAAGTAGTAAAGAATACATTACCTCTAAACCACCTTCTCGTCAGCACTTTGTTTACAAATTATGAAAGAAAATATAACAGCAAGAAGCTGAAAAATAATAGAAAAATACGTATTTAACACGTCTTAAAATAATGCCTGTTGTATAAGAAATATGTATTTAATAACATATGTTTTAACAATGCCCTGTTTTATAAATTATCGCATGTTACTGGAACAATGTACTCATTCAGATTTGAGGTATTTTTTTTCGCTTACCTCAATAACTAGGATTGTGACTCCAACCCCAATAACTTGATTAGAGTGAGATTCGATCTCGTCTTTCACTGCCTCGTAACATCCCTGAAAGTTACATTGCATAATTTTTAACGTTTCATGATATTTCAAATGTCTTCTTTTTTTCAGACATTTTGATTTGTATACGAGGGATGTTCAATTAATATTGTCCTGAACTGTATGGCATACAATACAGATATCAAATGGACATTAAGCTTGACTTTTTCGCATTATTGAAACTTTAATGAATTTATAATAATTTATGTTACTACTTTTCATCACATAGTTTCATTGTAAGAAGCTGGAAAACAAGGGCTTTTCGAGACACTGCATTAAAAATGAATGGTAAAGAATCGGTAAACTGGAGTGAAATTAAAGGCTTCATTAAAGCTGCTGTAAAACTCATTAAGAATCCCAAAGAAATACCCACTGAAATATGTCAAATTTATGGCAACCAATGTCTGTTTAAGAGACAAATGAGCAGGTGAATTTCAAAGATGAAAAAATTATATAAAGGGCATCACCAATGGGTACCGTCCTTGCCAACAAAAAATTATAACAACTAATGTACTGTTTGCCATATTTCAACAAATAATCACAGATGATGAATGGTTCACTTTAAGACACATAGCAAATTTGATAGACATCTTTTCGGCAGTAGTTCACACTGTTTTAAAGAAACGTTTGACAGTAAAAAAAAAAGCTTAGTACTCAAAGTCATTTGAAAAATGAGTGAAAACGACAGCCTGTAAGAATATCTAAACACTTATTTTAAAATATCAGTGACTGTAGTTATCCACGTTTGTTTGAAATTCAAACAAATAATGAAACTTGAATGAAGGATATGGAGATAACGAACAGTATTCAATATCAATGTCCATAAAACAATACAAAATAGGAACAGAGCAAACACGGACCTCCGAATCTATTGCTTAAAACCCTCAAAACAAAATTTACAATAAGGTGTACTTGACAAAAAGAGCAAAGGTCTGAGAAGAGCAAAGAATTGCAAGAGCATAAAGACAGATTTTTATCAATTTTCTTAAATATAAGTGGTCTTGTTGTTCAAAATCGTATTCGGGAAGGCAGTTTAATTTCTGGAAGAGTAAAAAAAGGTAATTTTGGGGGGAAAAAATCGAAAGGTTAATGAGAGAAAGGCACCAGAATCAGGAATCCACTTCATTAAATTTCTTCATGACCTCGTCCAATCCCGCACGCCCTGAGTAAGGGAGTTTTTTTTTTTGATAAACAGAAAGTTATTTTTTTCACATTAACAATATATATTCGCCAGATCCTTCACCTTTTGACTTGCTTCATTTTCCAAATTTGAAAACATACCTTTTAAAAGGAAGAAACGAGTTCAGAAAATCATAAGATCTGCTATTTTCCAGTATCTTAAGGGTCATACCCAAAAACGAGTTCTAAAAACAATCCAAGATTGGATAAAAAAAAAATTACGGACATGTGTTTTAATTAAAAGAGAATATTGAGTTAAATCATTAAAATTTAATCATTGAAAGTGTCTTTTGCTTCTTTCCGAGCACCGAAGACATCATTTATTGAACAGTCCTTGTATAATTGATCATATGTTCTTTACAGAAAACAATAACATAGACAGAGTATCATAGAAAAGAGGCGGGATTTTAGAAAAGAAACAATTTTAATTCAAATTTTATACCAAAACGTTTTTCTCTATTAATGTGATATTCGATATTTTCTCTTATAAATATGTTTTAAATAATGAAAACCCGTTACCTTAGAGTTGATGCCGCTAGTACCATCCTTGCAGGCAGAGGGCGCTGACAGGTAGTTACTGGAGTCCACACCTTGACAGCAAGCGGGAGGGACATAGAACTGAGTGGATGCGCAAGCTCCAGAGGTAGTGCACCACGGGGACTTCCTAAGATCGTTCTTAGCTTCGTCCGGTCCGGTGACAGCATTTACACCACAGCAGTCCAACTGTTGATATAGCATTAGTTTTAGTCGATTTAGTTCGCCTCGTTTTAAGTTTAAATGCCTTTTTAATAACTGCACATAACATATGAAATAAATCTGCATTTCAAAAACATCAATTAAAATAAATACCGTCATAAACATGTAATTCCATGAATTTGATATCTCATTGGTACTATTAAGACGGTGGTCCACATAGTCCGTTTTAATTGACGTCAGCATTCCTTCTTTAACTGTGCCTTCAACCTTAAAGTATCATTTAGATAAGCTTCATTGAATTCGGATATCAAGTTAACAAATTAATAAAAGTCAACTAAGCTTTTAACTAACACATTCAAAGATACCATCGCATTCAAAAGTAAAATAATTTTGAAATCCTCTTGTTTGGTAACCATTTTATTACCCGTGCATTTGCCGTGCATTCGTGGTAAGGAAGAGTTTCATTTGTTACAGTATAATCAGTTAAACTGTATAAAAAATTAAAAAGATAATTAATCATGATTGACAAATATTAAAGTTTAAGATTTATCACGTTGACTGTGTGACATTAAATAGGATTACCTCTGACTTCATTGAGAACCAAAGCGCAATGGCGACAATTTTCATGATGAACAATATCAGAACCAAAACTGCATACTAAAATACAAATATACGTTTTAGTAATTAAAATTAATTTCTTTAAAAAAAAAAACATTTAAAAATTCAGAGCTGTTCAGGCGAGAGGAAATTCCTAGCGACAGTTCTACACTCAATATTTCTTAACAGAGAACATTATTTTATTTTTTTTAAAGAATCCTTACTGTGACCAACATGCATCTGTTCTGACAACAAGCACCGAAAAGACCCAGACCAGCGACCAAGAAGATGAAGACGCCGATGATGATGAGGAGTATAGAGAGGTTGTCTGTCAGGTTCCCGAGTTTGTAGGAGCTGACAGTGATTGTGTTCAGGGCCGGCTTCACCTCATCCTTAATGATCTTTACATTGGTTTTCATTAAAGCTCCTACTATCAGTAACCCAAGACCGAGCAGCTGAAAATAAAAATTCGAATTTCAGAAAGGACTTCTTCATTAGTTTGATATCAAAGAAACATGGAGGCTTGAAAAGGTATTTATTTTTGGACCTTGTTTTTATTGTGAATGATGCAAATAATAAATCTCTAAAATATTAATCTGCTCTTTGCTTCCATTCCACAAATTATACAGCTGTTCATGATGAAATTGTAAACTTTCTATGACGTTCAAAATTCAACCTTTCTGCAACCATCCTTATAAATTTATTAAACTTTATATGCCCCTTTAAATTTCATTACTGTGAAAGTTTGAATGAAAATAAGAAAAGTATGTGCTTCAAATTACCAAGTGTACTCCTTTGAACATGGTTTAGTTTTCTATTTCAAGTTTTCAAACAAAAGTTTGTTTGTATCATATGTCATTAAAGGATATTCAACTTTCACTTTATGTGAATTGTCTAACTTTAAGAAATGAAAAACATCAGTCATATTCAGGTACAATCCATTTTTTTTAAAACTTCATGCTTTGTCTCTGATATTTCTTCTGGTTACTACGATCTACGATTCTAAAAATGTTACGACAATTATACATGCATCAATTAATGAAACACAAGAGGCGAATTCAAGTCTTTATCCAGTCATTAGCAAAAGTATTGTCTCTTCTGTATTTCGAAATGGTTTTATATGATAAGTTATTACTCACAAAAAATAAGATGTTGATGACGATCAGGAAAATTTTCCCCAGAGTTCCTCCACAACTTAAACCCATTTTAGAAGGTCAAGGGCAGCTAAAAATAGACAAATAAGGTCTGAGTTTATGACTTTGAATGAATGTAAATGAGTTTCCTTCGGTGAAACCTGAAAAATAAATAGGATCTAGAATTGGTACGATAAAAAAAAAACTAAGCATGAGAAAGGCTGTTTGAATTACACTGGGAAAGCTATAGAAAGAAACTTGTTTTTTTTTTTATTTTAAGTGATCTAAAATATTACCTTTTCGATGTAAGACTCTTACATGTTAATATTACATAGGGAAAGAAATACATGTATCCTATCAGTCTTTGACTTAAAAGAGGCTGAAAACAATTACAGTGGACCTTCAGATATCCGAGCGCCAGATATCCGGAATCTTCAGTATTCGGGCGATTTTTCATCGGAACAGAATTTTTTAACGTTATTTTGTCTTGTTTAACTGGTAGTTCAGGTATCCGGACGCTTCACATATCCGGACAAATTGACTAGGAACCAAAGCGTCCGGGTAAATGAGGCTCCACTGTATATACTAGTATTTGAAGAAAGGGGCTGTAAAACTCGGCCGAAAAACAAATTTGCTGTTAGGTTATAACAAAAAAGCTTCATTTATGATTGATGATTTTAAAAAGTCAAACAATATAAAAACACTCCGAACGGGAAAATGGTAGATACAACAGAGGGTATGTTTCAGATGACATTAATAAAATAAAATAAACTCTGGGGACAGAGTACTGAAGAAGCTGACAATATGTGGCAGACACAGAGGATCAGGGGACACCAAGGGGGAAATTAACCGTAATTATTCGGACAAAATGGCGGAATCAATAACGTCAACAGAGACAATGACAAACATAAAGCGCCTAAAAATCAGACATATGGTTGTATATTTCTCTGCTTTTATTGAGTTTATACTATCTTAATCTGCTCTGTGCTTCCATTCCACAAATTAGCCTATACAACTGTACTTGTAGTTCTGGAATATATGTACCTAAAAATGTAAGTGCAAACTTACAAATGTTGTACAATTGAGCAATCAAGCACAAAAATATCAATGCATGTACATGTAAAAAGATGTTATGTTGTGTATGGAGCTTGCAACGGTGCCATTAAACTCAAGTCAAACATTACATGCAATAAAAACTTTTTAAAAATTAAATTTTGTTGGTTGTACTTTTAGAAATTTGGATGAAAAGAAAATCAATAATTTTCATGTTGACTTCAATAGCAACATTGCCTTTTCGAAGATTTAAATCATACGTCTCCTTTAGGATGCCTTGGGGGAAAATACTTCATATTACGCATAATGATAGCTTCGTTTTCATTCTGTTTAGACATAACAAAAAAGCGCATTTAAAAGGATGATATTTATTCCTATACAAAGGAAGAAAAAATCTTTCGGGACAAAAGTAATTTGAGAGTTTCTTTTTCCAGTGAATTAAGAAGAAATAATCTCAAGAATCCGAACTACGTATAAAACAATGTCCCACACGGTGATGATATTAGCCCAGTAACATACACTTACTGCTTCACAGGTTATGTTCCTGCCCAGGGGCAAGGTGGCACTGTCAATCTATGATCGGTCTGTGATGTTTATAAACACAATATTCTGAAGTATAGGGCAATCATAGGATATAAGGAACAGGTTATTATTAGGCGTAGTTCGTCAATATATCAAATAACAAACACAAAAAAGAGAAACTTTCTCGTTCACTTAGTTTACTTAATGCTCAAGATCTTTTAACTTAAAGTCAGGATGGAAATATTTCAATTACATTGTTACAAAATTTTATGGGTTCTTTTCTAGATTAGGATAAAAAATACTCCAACAAACTAAATTCATGTATTGCAAATTGAGATCTACTTTGGTTGTATCAACACAAGCAAGTGTTCGTTTTTACTTTTTGAATCTGGTCCTGAGTTGTGGATATAAAATAGCACCTTCGCAAGCTTGTTTGTAGTTAAAGAGATCGATACCTCTTCGTTATTTTCACTACCTTAAAAAAAAACTCTTAAAAATTATCCGCTGTCTTTAAGATTAGATAGGTGATGTTGTTACTGAAAGACAAACTAGTTTCTAAAAATAATGTTAGGTGATAAGGTTTGAGGTATTCGGCGGAAATGTAAAATTTGTGTATCTTGTGACATGTTAAGAACAGTGGGTGGAAAGTTAGTGCATGCCCTCCAGCTCTTATAGAACATCAGTACATCTATCGTCGACCAATCTGCTCCATAATTAACACAATATAGTGGTTATATTAGTACCAAGCTCACAATTAAGTAACAAATCAATACGCATGAGCAAAGGTATAACATTCCATCCTTATTACGCAGCGTACAGAAAAACATTAAGGGTGTTACTGTCTTTGTTCAAACTGTATTATGGACGGTTCATCGCCGTATCATCATTATGCTAGCATATTAAAGATAAAATATCTCAACTTAAAAAAAAACAATAAAAAAATATTTACGAACTTTCTAAGATAAAAAAAAAATTAAAGACTCCCTAGTATTGATCTTAAATAACTCACGTATACCTTTGTGCTCTGCCGAAAAATGACTGATACCTGCGTTAAGGATTTAACAATGTGGGGGGAAAAATAAATTTACAGGTGAATAATTTCTGCATTGGGTATTGAAAAAATTGTAGAGGTATCGATAACATTGATTAATGAGTACAGGAAATTAATTTATAATAGAAAACCCTACCTTTTACAGAATTGCCAGTGTTTTCTCGATTCCACTCCACGGCCTTAATATCAATGTATACGTTATATGGTAAGTGATCTATTCTATATCAGTACATGTGTGACCTAGGACAGTAGGGGAACGTATTGGTGCAAATACCACACATTCATATAGAGAAAATAAAACATAAATATGTCAATGACCACCTACCGGAAAAATTAACCCGGTCATTCAGTGGTCAACGAGCATGGGACAGAAATGTTGGAGAGGGTGGGGCAGAATTATTTGTGATGTATAAGTAAAAAAGGTAACTATAAAATACAGGATCCTAGCACATCGGTATCGATCTGAATATCTTCTGGAATCTTCTGGAATATTCCTCCTCAACATTTATCAACAATGATAATAAAAACATCGTTCATTGATTTAGGCTAAAGAGTCGACCTCAGGCCAGTAAAGAGAACAATGATTACAAATAATAGCAAACCCGCTCCAAGAAAAAAAGGTATACTAGTGAAAATTAGCAAGAGACAGTTTATTATTTACCCCAGTATACTGAGTAGTTAGTAAAATATGTACTGTAGGAGTAATTGGTCATAAAATGTCTCCTATACAATGATTAATCATATATTAATTATAGTAAATAAATGTACATTTTGATACTGAACTATGATTATCAATAGTATGTCAAAGTTCCATGGTATTGGTATAAATTTCCAAACGTTTTCACATTAGGTAATCAAGGGTTTTATATGACATATTTGTAGTGAAACATATGGAGATAACAGTATTCAAGATAAAAAGTCCATAAAACAATACAAAAAGTAGCACAGAAAACACGGACCCGAAATCTATAAAAGATTTACAATGACTGTATATTAAGCATAAAATGTTTGCATTTTTCTGTATCTTGTACGTTAAAAAATAGATCTATCTTTTTATTCACTCCACTGAATTTCAAACAATACCAATGATATTAATATCACAAATGACATCCAACAGTTTGTTTCCATGGAAATGAACAGAAAAAGCAGAGTTTGTCATCGTTATCTTGCAGTTAAATGCGATTTGTCAACTTGGTATCGATTTTTTTCAAACTGTGCAGATCCCCTTAAGCTCTATCTAGGACAAAGAATATGTTGACGCAATATTTACACGTGCCACATAAGAGACGTAGACATCCAATCATTTTATACTGTTTTGTAAATATATTTTATTACTAGTTTAGTCAGAATTTATATCCCTCAACAAACAGATATTTTAATGAGATGTTGTATATGCCCTGTGCGTATGTGTCACTGAAATAAAAACTTATTTCATTTCATTATTTAATGAAATGCAAATTCATCAAACCTGAATGATATTTCACAAATATCATGACTGAATTCAAACTTTTAAAGCCTTATGTCCCTGATAAAGATATATGGCTCCGGGCCCATACAATTTAGACTAGAAAGGTTTTGATCTTACCTGTTGTTGCATTACAAATACAATTCCACACTCAGTAATAATAGCTGTATGCACTTAGTTTTTTTTTTTTATTTCTTTTAGTATTAAGAACTGTAAAGTTAGTACATGTACCAAATCAGTGAATAATTAGCGATGCAATCAAAACTAGAACACGTAGATGTAATTTTGTTGCATATTAGACCGATGTGCTTTCGTCTAACTGGCTATCCTGTGTGTTTCTCGTGTTTCATTGTATACATATGCACTTCAAAACGATTCCTTCTATAAATTATGGAACTAGAAAGTTCACATGCAATGTACATACATGTATATATTGCTAAAATAAAATAATCAATTGTTTGTGTTATGTTTTATCATGAGATCATATTTGATCTTTCTAAAGTGAGAACAGTAACATAAGGGAAACAATATTGATCAAAAACGTGAACGTCTTATCCTATCCTCAGAATCATTACATTCATATAATGAGATCAGAAGCTTTATACACATAGTTACTTACATGTCAAGATATTTAGAATTTGATGTTGTCCTGACTCGTCTTTATCACTTTGATATCATTTATCAAAAAAATAGTTGTATCACCATACATACATACAGCTGTACTTCCGATTGATGATTTGTACGCAGTATTGCCATGTATTGATCGGCATCTGACAATAATATTTTTCTGGCTTTGAGCCAATGTTAAGAAAATTCTTCTTCAACATACAATCTGTGAAGGTCATCTCTAAACAGGTCAAGTGGAGGTCATCTCTAAACAAGTCTAGTAGAGGTCTTCTCTATACAGTTCAAGTGAAGGACATCTCTATACATCTCATGCATGTGGATGTCATCTGTAAACTGCTCAAGTGGAGGTCATCGCAAGATTTTACCAAAATCAACAGCTTAAAAACTCACAACTTATCAACTGTATACACAACCATTCCCAACGACAAATTAAAGTCCAGGTTTTTTGATATTATTGACAGCTGCTTTTTCATGATCAATAAAAATGGAACTTGTAAATTTACTTACCTGGTCATTGGTCATTTGCAAAATTATTTTGTTAAAACACATTCTGATTGCACACACAAGTGCTCTGCAGTTGACACCAAAGAGATGCTTGAGTTTCTGATAGACAATATCTATGTGGTTTTTGGAGACCAGGTATTCCAACAATCTATTGGAATTTCCATGGGTACCAATTGCGCTCCGTTATTAGCAGATCTATTTTTATATTCATATGAAGCAGAATTTGTGCAAAATCTTATGCGTGAAAAGAAGAAAAAACACTTGCTTTGGCCTTCAACTCGACATTTAGATAAATCAACGACGTAATGTCAATTAACAATGGATATTTCCATTCCTATGTCGATACGATATATCCTGTTGAGCTTGAGATAAAGTATTTTACAAAGTCTGTTTCATAAAAAAAATGAAATTGAAAAAAGTTAATGGTAATCTAACAAGCAAGCTCCATGGTAAACGTGATGACTTTAACTTATATATCGTCAACTTCATTTACATATGCAGCAATATACCTTCACCTGCATACGGAGTTTATGTGTCTCAGTTGATTCGATACGCAAGAGCATGCTCTACATTTGAACAATCTAAAACGAGGTAAATTATTGACAAGCAAGTTGATGAAACAAGAATTTCAGCAGTTTCGTTTAAAGTCATCATTTCGTAAGTTCTATGGTCGATACAATGACCTTTTTAGCACTTACAATTTATCATTGAGTCAAATGCTAACTGACGTTTTTCATTCTAATTGTTAGTCTATGATTTAAACACTGATTTGACGACGGATTTTTCCGTTATTTCCCGATTATGACAAGAGCATACGGCGGGTGTGACCGGTCAGCACAGGATCCTCACTCCTCCATGGCACCTGATCGCACCTCTGGTGTTTCGGGGGTCCGTGTTTGCTCTGCTCCTAATCTGTATTGTTTTATGGAATTTGAGATTGAACACTATTCGTTATCTCCATATCCTTCATACAACTCAAATGGAGTTCATCTTAATACAGTTGTAGTTGGCGTATCTCTATAAAGCCCATGTGGAGGACATCTGAGCTGCTCAAGTGAAAGGCATATCCATATGTAAGCAGCCAGTATACAGTTCAAGTGGAGGGCATCTGTATACAGCTCAAGTGGAGGGCATCCCTATACAACTCAAGTAAAGGACATCTTTAAACACCTCAAGTGGGGGCATCTCTATATGTCTCCAAAAGCATTTTTATTGTGAATCAGAAACTCAAGCATCTTTTTAATATTAACTTCAGGGAACTTGTTTGTACATTCAGAATTGTTTTAAACAAAATAATTTTGCAAATGACCAGTGACAAGGTAAATTTAAGAGTTCCCTTTTTATAGAAAATGCAACTGCCAATGATGTTAGAATACCTGGATTTAAATTTATCGTGGGGAATGATTGTATGTAAAGCTGAAAAATTGGAAGTACCAATATCACACTATATCTCATAAATACCTGCAGTTTTTGGTTTTAAAACAAAAAAACGAATATTCTTTTCTTGTTAAATAGATTTTTAACTTGACAAGAAATGGTGCTTGGATGTTGAGTAGATAAGGTAACTCAAACTGTACAGGTACTCTTTGGAAAATGTTGAGAAAATGAAAGCTCAATCACATATTCTTTTATAATGCCTGTGACGTCGAAGATTTTGCTGCTCCATGACTTAATGATATGTCCTGAAAAATCACTCAAAATTGATACCAATATACAACATTTTAATATGAAATTTTGAAGACCATATAAGTAAAGATTTTTTTTATATTATGTGTGACATTTTGCCCGATTATGTCGTCAAATATTTTTTTCTGTGGAACAAGTCCGCGTAATTTTTGAACGGCCCTAGCTCGTATTTATGTTTTTGATTTTGGTAAAATTTTGTGATGCTAAAATATTGTTGCGCAGTACTCCTAAATTTTCTCCCTCATCGCTAATAATATCCTTGGAAGAAGTAAAGAAAGAGATTTGGCAGAACAATTCCTAAAACTTGCTTGGTTTCTTTTCCTCTTTCTTAAATAATGATTTTTATTAAGTTTTGGAATCCAGTATAGCTACAGTAATTCAAATTTATTTTGGTGTTGGGAATGTTAACAACAAATGAGATGCCTGCATATCTTCCTCGTTAACTCTCCTTATTTATATGCATATACAGTGACATTCCGCTATCACCTGCATATCATGTTTATGTCTCCCAACTTATTCATTACCAAAGAACTTACTCCGAGTAAAATAAGTCTTTACACCGATCGAGGCAGGCTACGAATATATGAGGGATATGGAGATAATGAACAATATTCAAGATCAAAGTCCATACAACAATACGAAATAGGAGCGGGACGAACACGGACCTTCAAAACATCAGAGGTGGGATCAGGTGCCATGGAGGGGTGAGCATCCCCTGTCGACCGGTCACACCCGCCGTGTGCTCCTTGTCATCAACGAGAAATATCGGGAAAATCCGACGTCAATTCAGTGCATAAATAATGGACTAACAATTATTACGAAAAACGTCAGTCAGCATTTGACTCAATGATAAATTGTATTTGCTGACAAGGTCATTGTTTCGAACATAGATCCTACAAAATGATTCCTTTAAACAAGACTGCTGATATTCTTGTTTCATCAACTTGTTTGTCAATAATTTACCTCGTTTTAGAAATTGTTCATACGTAGAGAATGCTCTTGCGTAAATCTATTTGACAGGGATTTCAACCTCATTTAAAATTAGCATTTAATTAATAAATTCTTTGGTCGATATAATGACGTTTTAAGCAAATGTAACTTATCAAAGTTTTTTTTTCTCTTTTGCTGACATGTTTTATGCCTCCATGGCACCTGATCACACCTTTGATGTTTTGGAGGGCAGTGTTTGCTCTGCTCCTATGTTGTATTGTTAAATGATCTTGAATACTGTTCGTTATCTCCATATGTTTCACTATGTCCTTGTTTTGTACAGACGGATTGTTCCGTCTATCTTATCAACACACACGGATCACGGAAGGTGTGTAAATAATGTAATAAGAGTTTTAAGTTTAGATATTCTGCTTTACAAAAAAAAAAAAAAAAAAAAAAAAAAAAACATGTAAAGGGTTCCTGTACGCGTTACGCGGATTTATCTTTTGTTGACATTTTTATGCGTAAGTATAAGATTCAAAATACTCAAGTGAGAGTTAATGAAGCCCTGTATAACATACATCAGATTGACTGGATCAATAACATAGTGGTTCATCAGCCGTCCTGTATAACAAAGCACTTGAATATTAATGTAGATGTGTGCAACAGGAGATTAGATTCAATATTCCATGGCGGTCGACATGCCTCCCTAAAACTGAGTAGAAATAACCTTTGAAAGCTGTACACTGTATTATTAGACCTATGTTTTAATATGCTTCCGTTAGAACTTTTTTCAATATTTTTATGAAATATGATGAAAACAAGTCTTTCTTTTCTATTGGATAACCGATTAAAGAATAAATCTTGTTTGGATTTCTTGCAAGACTAAATAATTAATGGTCCCTAGAATAAGTCTTATAAGGTAGGATTCTGTTCTGGTTCCTGACTAGATGAAATATTCAATGCATTTTCTTATAACTCTTATAATTAGATGTAAGATATTCAAAAGATCGTATTTTTTTTCTCATCTTATCATAATAGTACAACTTTAATTACATGTATATATCATAATGGTTAATTGAAATCTAGAAGGAACTACTAGTATATTTTTGGCGGAAATAAATATCGTATGAAAATATCTTCTTTTCCAATTCTCAATAATATTTCAGAACAATGAATTTATTTTTAATTTTGACTTATCAAAGTTTTAGACTTGAAGAATTTTTCAAATGGTAGTTAAATTAATAATATTAAGAGAATAACGTTATAAAATATATCAAAGTTCTGTGTGATGTGATTTTCGAGATAAATTACAACTATACTAGTCTAGCTTTTAAAAGCCTCTACTGTAAGCACAGATATGAGCCAAAAATCGGTAGAAAGAGTTTTCCTCTTTTAGTAAACGATCAAAACGTTTCATTTTTGTACCATTTTATATCTCTATATGACTTTTTTACCATATTTGAAAATTAAAAAATATCTAGGATGAAAAGAAACATATGCAGATAACGAACAGTATTCAAGCTCAAAAATCCATTTATCAAATGGGAGCCGAGCAAATACGGACCTCCAAAACAGCAGAGATGGGATCAGGTGCCATGGAGGAGTGAGCATCCCCTCCGACCAGTCATACCCGCCATGTGCTCCTTGTCATGATCGGGAAATAACGGAATATATCCGTCGTCCATTCAGTGTGTAAATAATGGACTAGCTATTAGTGTGAAAAACGTCAGTCAGCATTTGGATGCGTGTAAAAATAATATATCCTAAAAAATAAGAAAAATAGAAAAAAATGGAATAACCAAAATCCATTTTTGTTAAACTTTTAATGTCAACCTGGTTATATCATCTTATATACCCAATATGGTCATATCCTTTAATCAAAAAAAAAAATTAAAATTTTGATATAGAAGAAGGTATTATAAAATCGCGTGTTTGTATGCAGTAATTTTATATCGAAAAGGTAATGACCTTGACCTCACCTTATCTCTAGTACAAAACGGTTAAAACTAATCTAAACTCATAGTATGGCACGCCAAATTCACAAAAATGAGCTAAACCTAGTTTCACAATTGATAAACTAGGTTTATCGACTGTAAACTTTGGTTTACAAACCGTAAACTATAGTTAACGATTCGTTAAGTATAGTTTTCATCTGTAAAACTATATTTAACGGTTGTTAACTATAGTTTACGAATGATAATTATGGCACGCCAAATTCACAAAAATGAGATAATCATAGTTTCACAATCGATAAACTAGGTTTATCGGTTGTAAACTATAGTTTACAAACCGTAAACTATAGTTAACTACGTTAATCTATATTTCACATCTGTAAACCATAGTTAACGCGATAATCTATGTTTCACAGCCGTAAACTATACTTAACACCGAAAACAATCATTTGCGATTGCAAAACATAGATTATCTGATAAATACAGTTTCACGATTTGTAAACTATAGTTTACAAATCGTTAACTATAGTGAACGATCTGACAAATATAGTTTCACAATTTGTTTTACAAATCGTTAACTATAGTTAACGATCTGATAAATATAGTTTCACAATTTGTGAAACTATGATTAACAACTCTTAACTATAGTTTACGATTGTAAACTATAGATTACAAACCTGAATCTATGTTTATCAACAAAATCTATTGTTAACGCTTTATTACAGACAGATAAACTTAAATTAACATTCGTAAACTATAGTTAACAACCGTTAAATATAGTTTTACAGATGAAAACTATACTTAACGAATCGTTAACTATAGTTTACGGTTTGTAAACTATAGTTTACAGTCGATAAACCTAGTTTATCAATTGTGAAACTATGATTATCTCATTTTTGTGAATTTGGCGTGCCATATTTATCTGTCTGTAATAAGCGTTAACAATAGATTTTGTTGATAAACATAGATTCACGTGTGTAAACTATGGTTTACAATCATAAATATGGAACGCCAAATTCACAAAAATGAGATAAATATAGTTTATCGGTTGTAAACTATACTTTACGGACTGTAAACTATAGTTAACTACGTTAATCTATATTTTACATCCGTAAACCATAGTTAACGCGATAATCTATGTTTCACAACCGTAAACTATACTTAACACTGAAAACAATCATTTGCGATTGTAAAACATAGATTATCTGATAAATACAGTTTCACGATTTGTAAACTATAGTTTACAAACCGTTAACTATAGTTAACGATCTGATAAATATAGTTTCACGATTTGTGAAACTATGATTAACAACTCTGAACTATAGTTTACGATTGTAAACTATAGTTTACAAACGTGAATGTATGTTTATCAACAAAATCTATTGTTAACGCTTATTACAGACAGATAAACTTAGATTATCATTCGTAAACTATAGTTAACAACCGTTAAATATAGTTTTCACAAATCGTGAAACTATATTTATCAGATCGTTAACTATAGTTAACGGTTTGTAAACTAAAGTTTACAAATCGTGAAACTGTATTTATCAATTAATCTATGTTTTGCAATCGCAAATGATTGTTTTCGGTGTTAAGTATAGTTTACGGTTGTGAAACATAGATTATCGCGTTAACTATGGTTTACAGATGTAAAATATTGATTAACGTTGTTAACTATGGTTTACAGTCCGTAAACTATAGTTTACAACCGATAAACCTAGTTTATCGATTGTGAAACTATGTTTAGCTCATTTTTGTGAATTTGGCGTGCCACTAAACTGATATCATCACACATTGTCTTCTTGGTTCTGTGAAAATCTTATGATTTTTTTTTAATACAAGAAATACATTTTTGTAAGGAGAATCCCAACTACATGTAGGTACTATCCTAAATATCTACTGCTTACGGCTCTTGTCTTAAAGTGTGATTTTTGGATTAACTCAACAAACACGTATTTTAAAGTAATTTAAACATGTTTTAAACTTTTTTAATAATAAAAAAGAAAATAAAAAATATATAATACAGATATGGGAGGTTTTTTCCCTTATCAGACAGCAGAAAATATCAACAATATTGCTTCAAATTGAATATTCTATGAAAATATTTTATTTTTTCCTCATAATTCTATTTAATGCAGCGATTCCGCAGCTTTTATGAGCTTAGTTACTTCATATATTATTACATATTTAAATTGTACAATAAAAACGAAACATCTTATGTACGTTTTGTTAAGCGTTTGAGTGCGAAGATTCAAACATTTATTTCACCTTGATTATCAACAAAAATGGTGAATGTAGACCAACATGGGACATGATTGATTAAAAACTTAAAATATCGTAAAGATGTTGCTAAACCCCGTGAGTTTTGTGGCATTAGTTATCTCATTACCAGTTACATTTTCACAACTGGTCGTAAATGTTAAAAACAAAGGGGGCGATGTAATAAGAGAAGTTATTTCGGGCAACACGACATCCGATGTAGTGGAGCTGCAATTTCAGAATACAGACGGCACACTCATCAATCAGTTCATCGACTTCAAATCGGTGAGATTATTTTGACTGGGGTCAGGTAGTTGGATTTTTATCTTTAAAGGAAAGAAGATGAATAGCACTGTTTTGGTTGAATTCAGGTCACCATTGTCAGGTCCACTATATATGTTTAGCTCTTAGCTAAATCTACCTATATAGCTGAAAACTAATACTGCTTCATTATGCCACTCTTTGTATGCTTTTCATAACAGAAACTTATTCTGAAATAGCTAAATAAAGCTATATTATGCAGGTAAGGAAAGCTCTAAAGCTAAATATAGTGATTTTCCTGGACCTGATTGTTTTTCTGTGGTGATGCATTGTCAGTTTCTATTGCTGCTTATTCCATTTTACATCACTATACAGCAATGAATTTAAAATTTAATAATTACTAATGTAAATACATATTTAAAAAGTAAATGGATTCTAATGACCTATTTCTACCCTGCAGGAAGTGCAGATTTTCCGTGCCTTTGTGCTGAGAGAGGAGGAACTTGGATTCTCCAGAAATAAACCCATTACTTTATGCTTTGTGTCCAGATTTAACAAAAATGAGTTCATTTCTTCTGACGCGATGTCAAAACTCCGGCAGGTGGGTTATCTGTTTCACAATTTATTCACACACTAATGCATCTTAGAATTAGTTAGAAACACTCTTTATAAAATTGATTGTATTACCACTACTTCCCTATGCATGGTGTAAAAATATGTCTCATGTTATGTCAAAACTCAGGCAGATGGGTTATCTTTTTCTCAGTTCACTCACACATCTCTTTAAATTAGTTGATTTGAACGTACACAATGTATTTTATTGTAATTTAATTATGAAGGGATTGGGCACAAATTCTGGAAACTTATAAAACCCTCTCCTCTGAATTAGTTAGAAACACAGCCTTTATAAAATTGATTTCTAAAATCATTCCATGACCACTTCTCTTTGGATATTGTCATATTATTGCAATGTTTTAAAAGGAGAATACTAGATTTGAAATGAAGGCAAAAAGAATTCAAGTAAATGTGTAGACTTAAGTATTATGACTGTAATACATGTAATTATAAGTGAATCTTTTCTGTCAAGTAAAATTTAGCATTACAATAAAAAAAATTTACTTGTTCAATAGTTTATGAAAAAGTACACAAATTCTGGGACCAAATTTCAAAATATCCTTAAATGAACATAGAATTGATAATTAATTTTATTAATGTTGATTTGTACATGTTTCTATTTATTATGTGGTTTTTTTTTAATTAAAGAAAAATCCGAGCACGATTCGTAGCCCGGAGGAGGAGAAAGTTCCTGAGATGCACATCATGGATCTACGGATGGACCTGAGAAAAACAAATGTCCTCAGTCCATACATACACAAAGTCTGCCAGGATGCCAATCTGACCACCTACACCAAGGAATCAGACATCAGAATGTGGTCACAAGGTAATTATTCTAAAATGAAAATCACTGAATGACAAAAGTGTGTGCTTAAAGAAAGGGAGGAAATTCAAAACCTTGAAAAAATCTATTCATTCTAAATGAAATTGAATTGTCTTTCCTGGGTAAGAATTGTAGGATTTGGTATTTGTAGCACTGGGTCAGGACTTTGATTTACTGATGTCCACCTCTAAGCAGACCCACCCTGGGAAGTTTGCTAACTGTAAGGACATGGCTAACCTGACGTTGCCTTGTCTGTGTCACTATCACATCTGTGTCGGCTGGTATCCGTGTGGACTGAAGTACTGCCGAGGAAAAGACTCCACGGGTCGATACGTCAGTTATCGCTGTGGGATCAAGACCTGTCGTAGATTTATATCCTATGATTTTGTGGCTGAGAAGAAATATAACTGCTTATGGGATGATGTGTGATATATAGAGGATATCTATATTGTGTGATTTGATATTGGCTTTATCCAACGAGTTGAAATGGTGTATATATTCGCGAGGCTTGCGAATATTCACCATTTCAACGAGTTGGATAAAGCCAATATCAAATCACACAATTATAGATGTTCTATTTATCTCATACGACTTTCGTTTTAACAAAACTTTGAGACTTCCCCTGCGAAACTACATGAATGACTGCCAAAATCAAATTGATGACGTATAACTTGATGACGTAGCACCGTTGATGTTTACATGCGTCGAGAGAAAGTAGATCGAGTTCAAAATTTAGAATATTTGCTATCTGTGTCTTTGAAAACATCATGTGAAAATTGCTGGAGCTTTACATCAAACGAACTTCTGACTGAAAGTTGTTAGGACTATGGGGATCGTGAAAATCAACTCTTTTTACGATGGCAGTACAAATCGTGCTAGGCAAGGCTAGGGGCCTAGACTTTGTCTAGATTGTTTGCTGATCCATGGTAAGTTGCACCTACATTACTAGGTAGGCATACGTAGTATAATATAAGAAAGCATTGTTAAAGATGTCAAAGGAGTCTTATAACAACAACTTAACTGGTACATGTAGGCTTTACTTTCTCCGAAAACGATCTAAGAGGGGGGGGGGGGTAACATCTGTCTTCAAATAGCCAACAGGTTCCTTGATAAAATAAGACACTTCTTTGACATCTTGCTTTTAACGATATTGCTACCCTTTATCATTCATTTTATAAGGGCAACAATTTTCACAAATAAAAGTTTCAATAAAATAAAATCTTGAAGCGAGGGTTCGTGTCAAAACCGGAAGTGCTATTGATAAAGCATCTACCCGTTGATAAAGCATAAGTTTATCCAACGGCCTGTATCACCAACACGTATGAGATAAAATGGATTTTGTATATTTATTTAAAATTTTATATGCTTCCATTTCTGATAGGATTGTCAGGTAAATATTTGATGCTAGAAGTCATGTATACTTTAATGGCTGCTCCTGTATCCACAATTTATTTTACACTCTGTTTAATGCCTTATAAATTGTGAAAACTTTTGTTTTAAATTGAGTTCCTCTACAGTTAACTGGTTTTATTATTGATTTTTACATAATTATTAATTTTTGATAATATGTATACACAGTCTATGTTTTACTTTGATGAATGGGAATGAAGACTGATTTATATGATTTTGTGAAAAAAAGAGACCATCCTATGTGAGACTCATTCACAAAATAAAAGTTAAAGTTGCATGTAGTTTTCTTGATAATTCTGTAAAAGTAATTCCCCAAATACAGAATGTGATAATTTTCTGTACATGTATTTCGTATTCTCAAAATTCTCACTTCACCCATTATTTTATTTTTAAATGATCAGCTTTTGCTCTTGAAGAATAATGTAGAAATATGTTTTGAACACATTTTTGTAATTTATATTCATGGTGCTACTTGTATTTTGAAATTGATTTTTTTTTAAATAACACTTTTATATTTTAGTTTTGGGCACTGTAGTTTGATGAATTAGTTTTACATTTCAAACCACTTGAAAACCAAAGGAAAACACACTTGACAGTGTAGTTATTGTAATTTTTTTTATATAGATGATTATGCATGTTAGTAATTTTAGGCTATACAAAAGGACTTAACATTATGAGAGAAATCTAAAAAGTTTTAGAACATAACCCATTTCTCCATCCAATTACCATTTGCTAGACTTTCTGTTTAGTAAGGCACTTAATCTTTAGGAATTTTCTATGTTTTCAGTGCCATTAAATTTTAATTGACAACTTTGATAAATGAAGACAAATAAGAGAAAAATTGAATTTGCACAGAAATTTATTAGGATTAGCAAATGGGATACAGTAAAACTCGTTTAGTACAAACACAGATATTACGAATACACAGATACATGTATAGCAAAGTTATCTTGGATCCCCAACTAAATGAATTCATTGAGTTCCTTGTACAGATATAACAAATTATTGATATAGCAAAGTAATTTCATAAGTCCCTGTGACTTCGTTATACTAGTAACCGAGTTTTACTGTATGTTCTATTTAAGTTCATAGTAAGTAAAATGTTAGCATCTAAGAAGGAGTTTGATCATTTCACTGCATCAGCTCCTTCTTAATACCAAAATTTTACTTGGTATGATCTTATCATTACTTAAAATGTATCATGTTGATCTATAATATATGTGCCAAATATTGCCTAACTGGTTGTATATGTAAATATTTATGCAATGATTTATGAATTACATGTATATTATACTTTTTATATGCACAAAGTATTAAAATATTGCAGAGAACTCCATGTTTATTGCTTCTAACAAACAATTATTATATTTGAACTTTGGCAACTTGACCTTTTGGTTATATCAAAATCAAAGTTAATTTAAATTATGGGGCCCAAACTAATTCTGAATACATATTTCATTTAGCTGGATATGTTGACATGTTTGAGAGTCGAATATTTATAGTTGTCCTTTACTTTTGATAGGTTGACAGTCTTGAAACCAAGTTTGACCACCTGTACATGTACTATAGGAAAACGGCTTTTTCTGTAGTTTTTTTGCTCACCTGAGCCAAAGGCTCAAGTGAGCTTTTCTGATCAAAATTTGTCCGTTGTCTGTGGTCGTCGTTGTAAACTTTTCACATTTTCATCTTCTTCTCAAGAACCACTGGGCCAATTTCAACCAAACTTGCTACAAAGTATCCTTGGGTAAAGGGGATTCAAGTTTGTTCAAATGAATGGCCACGCCCTTTTCCAAGGGGAGATAATTATGAATTAGAGAAAAAATAATGGCATTTTTAAAAAATCTTCTTCTCAAGAACCACTTGGCCAGGAAAGATGAAACTCATGTGGAATCATCCTCAGGTAGTGTAGATTCAAGTCTGTACAAATCATGACCCCCGGGGCTAGGGTGGGGCCAAAATGGCCATCAAAGTTTTACATAGGAATATATAGGAAAAATCTTTTAAAAAATCTTCTTCTCAAGAACCACTGGGCCAGGAAAAATGAAACTCATGTGGAATCATCCTCAGAAAGTGTAGATTCAAGTTTGTTCAACTCATGACCCCTGGGGCTAGGGTGGGGCCAAAATGGCCGATCAAAGTTTTACATAGGAATATATAGGAAAAATCTACTTGTCAAGAACCACTGGGCCAGGAAAGATGAAACTCAAGTGGAATCATCCTCAGGTAGTGTAGATTCAAGTTTGTTCAAATCATGACCCTCAGGGCTAGGGTGGGGCCAAAATGGCCAATCAAAGTTTTACATAGAATATATAGGGAAACCTTTTAAAATCCTCTTTTCAAGTACTTCAAATCCATGCTAGGTGATATTTATATGGAATCATTCTCAGGTAGTGTAGATTCTAGTTTGTTCAAACCCTGACCCTCTGGGAGATTAAAATTCAAGCCCCCTCCCCCCCCCCCCCAAACTGGGTAAACTTTCAGTTCTGATCTGATATGTGCTTTTTCCTAGCAAATTGCTTAGGTGAGTGATGTGGCCCCTGGGCCTCCTGTTGTTTAAGCTTACAAAAGCTTCAGTACGTTGCTGTGTTTTAGATTCAGTAATATCTAAACAAATCGACCAATCAGATATTCAATATTTTGTCTAATATATTCATTTTGGTACAAACCATCTCTCAAGTACACATACAAATACATGGGTACAACGTTTAGGGACTGTAATTTTACAAGGATGATAAATGCACTGCCAATTTTTAGGTCACCTGAGTAAACTCCGGTGACCTATTGCTATCTGTTTTTGTCAGTCGTCGTGCGTTGTGTGTTAACATTTGAACATTTTTAGCTTCTTCTCTGAAACCACTCAACCAATTTCAACCAAATTTGACATATAGCATCTATAGGTGAAGGGGGAACAAATATTTTGAATTTCATGGTCCCTGCCCCCCTTGGGCCTAGGGGGTTGGGCAAAGATCACCAAAATTAGTGCAATCTTTAAAAATCTTCTTCTTTACTTCTGGACATCAAGCAGTCAAACTGTTGATATGATTGTAATCAGCATTGAGTCCTCTACCAAAATTGTGAAATCAGGGTCAGGGGTTCTAGTGCTAGGGTGGGGCTAAATAGGTTATATAGTGAAAATGCATTATTTCTTTGAAATTCTTCTTTTCTGCTCCTGGGCATTAAATAAACTAACCAAGTGCATAGTTATTTTGAATAAGACTGCTTCTTCTCATATTGGGAATTTAATGTCCCCAGGGTCAGGGGTTCTAGTGGTAGGGTGGGGCTATATAGATTATATAGTGAAAATGCAAAAATTCTTTGAAATTCTTCTTCTCTGTTCCTGGGCATTAAATAAACTAACCAAGTGCATAGCTATGTTAAATAAGGCTGCATCTTCCAAAATTGTGAATTTCATGGCCCCAGGGTCAGTGTGCTAGGGCGGGGCTATATAGATTATATAGTAAAAAAGGAATTATTTTTTTGAAAATCTTCTTCTTTGCTTCTGAGTGTTAAATAAACTAACCAAGTACATAGTTATGTTGAATAAGGCTACCTCTTCCAAAATTGTGAATTTCTTTGCCCCTAGGTTGGGGGTTCTGGTATTAGAGCGGGGCTTTATTGATTATATAGTGAAAATGCATAAATTCTTTAAAACTCTTCTTTTCTGCACCTGAGTATTCAACCAATGAACTGTGTACATAGTTATGAGGAGGAAGGATGCCTCTTTGAGATTTTTGAATTTCAGGGTCCCTGGGTTAGGGCTTAAATTCTTGTGTTAGGGCGTAACTCTAATGTTTAAATAATGAAAATGCATGAATTCTTTGAAAATCTTTTCCTTTGTTGTTGGGTATACACAGTAATGCTAATGATCATAATATATATTTATGACAAAAAACTTCTTACAAAAACGGTGAATTTCCTGGTTAATTTCCTGGCCCTTAGGACAGAGGTACTTTGGGAGGGGGGGGGACATAGTCTGAAATAATTTAATGCTTTGAAATCTGCACTTATTAATCAACAGCATGATGAAATAAAATTTCAACAAATTTCCAAAATTTTAAAGATGTGGCCCCAGGGTCAGTGGTTCCTGTGGGATGGGGAGCTCAACTGTGGACCCGTCCTAACGCAAGAAGCCCTGACTAGGGGCCCTGAAATTCAGTAAAAGTGGAGATGCATATTCTCTTTGTTACTCTGATCTACCTCTGGGTATAAAGTAACCAAACTAAGCATGCTGAGTGTATAATTATGATAAGCAATGGTGTCTCTTTCAAAATTGTGAATTTCATGGCCTCTAGTTTAAAACATGAATCAAATTCAATTGTTGGAAAGTTGTTGCATGATACTCAGGTGACCTATAAGGCCCATGGGCCTCTTGTTTTTTGTCCCCCGCTTGAAAAGTGGGGGATATTTTTGTCCGTCCGTTTTTTTTTTTTTTTAGTTTAGTGATGCTTTTGCAATGAAATTTAGCATATATGGACTAAAGATGTTATTTCTTTGATGCCAAGGTGAAATAGAATATTCCATGGAAAGCCATGAAATAGGAAAAAGAAATCATAATCAAGATATCTCTAGAACATATTAAGCTATCGCAATGAAATTTTACATAACAACTCCCTGTGGCTAGAGAAGACCCATGAAAACATGAATATATACTATTAAATTATCGGCTGTAAATTTATGAATTTGCGTCTATGTGACGCTAGGTTCACATAGGGACATCGAGATGTCATTGTTTTATTTTATCGATATTTCTTAGCATTGCAATTTATATCTGCCCCGCCCTTTGCGGGCGTATAAAATATAATTAATTATTGACTTCTCAGCTGGATGTTGATTTGAAGCTGTGTATTAATGACATTCACAAATTAAAGATTAAAAAAGCAAGACCTAGCAGAGGGTAATCCATTCATCGTTAATGGCTGACGACGCCGTTAAATCGAACACACCGCTGGTCCGTCATAGCCGGTAGTTACTCTTCTATTAGTTTTGATGATTCCAAAACAATGGAGCGGAATAAGTACTTATATTTTATTGATCACTTTGCCGACAGGATTGCATTAAATGATAAAAAGTAATTAGACTAAAGTGACTTTTTCGATTCTGGGTGTGCCAATCAAAGAGAAATGACAGGCTTGTAAAAAATATTTCAGAGATGAATATTAAATTGATAAGGTTTAATTTCCTTTAACATTGCTAATTAAAGTATATCAAAACATTATCGAGAACTGTCCTTCTTTGAAAATCTGATCTGTGAAATAGACAGGACCAGCACTTAATTAATTACATTTTTCAAAAATGGTTACACGCAGAGCAGAATGACAATGGGATCGACTTTTCATCCGGCGATCCGTCTGTCTGTCTGTTCGTCTGTCTTTTTTTTTCAGCTTAGTTTAGTGATGCAGATATAATGTTATTTGTTTAATTAAAGAATTTCTTGAAAAAAAAAATATATGATATTAATATTTATGTTCTATTTGTTATGAACAATTTCTTAAACGAGGTAAATTATAGACAAACAAGTTGATGAAAAAAGAATTTAAGCATCTCGTTTAAAGTCAGCAAATAAATTTATCATTGAGTCAAATAAATTATTTATACACTAAATTGACGAAGGATATTTTGTTATTCCCCGACCATGACAAGGAGGACAAGGCCGGTCAGTGGAACACCTGCTCCTCCATGGCACCTGATCCCACCTCTGATGTTTTGGAGGTCCGTGTTTGCTCTGGTCCTGGTTTGTTTTGTTTTATGGACTTTTGAGCTTGAATATATACTGTTCGTTATCTCCATATGTTTCATTCAAGTTCCGAGTAGACATACAAATGAAACTAGCTAGTGGTACTTGATAAAATTTCGATGTGTACATGTGTATGTTTAAAGGGGCACAGTTAGTGCGTATCGTAATTCCTGTACACCATACATTGCAAGATACTGTGTACGAGAAACACTGCTACCCTCAAATACACTTTGTAAATCAAAGAGCTTTGTAACAAATTAAACTTTGTAAGTGATCAAATACATAGGATTTAAGTTTTTAAAAATTCATATTTGATTTAAACCGATTGTTATAATTTTAAATTCTCTGATATCAAAATTTTTTATGTAACAGTATTTAATCATAGAGGGGTTTCAGGTAGAGCATTTTTCTAGGTATTTTATAGTAAAGTAAGGGTAAAATGAACTATATCCGTTAAGTGTGGAATGTAATTTTTTTTTACAACTTTTAAACAGAAAGGTGCTATTGTATAATTTGGGAAGTGTAAGTTAAGTCGGACTACCATAGGCAGTCACGTCTAATTTCATAGTGTTACAGATTCTGATGACTATATGTTTGAAGAAATTCTGATATCTTTTAAAAAGAAGTTAGGAGCCTTGAGGGACACCTTAACCATTTTTTATGGATTCTGCAAGACTCAAACAGACAGTGTTCTTTGTCACATAATTTTTTTTTCATCAAGTGCTCTAAAAATTCATGATTTTTTTTATAAGATCACCTCTATATCTGACTTAAATCCACCCTTCCCTAGCTCTATTTCCATTGGTCATGTAAAACCTAGAGTTTCTGTATGTTACTTGAGTTACTGGAACCTGTTCATGTCCTGACTATATCTTATTGACCTTTGGTGAATGTTTGGACACACTTTCACAGTCCGTCAGGTCATTGGTCTACAATAATAACAAATGCGTACTAGCATACTTTACTCGGTTTAAAAGTTTTAGCTTAAACAGAAGATTGTGATGACAGATGATTTCATTCTTGTTTTGGTCTAGAAATAATAAAATAAAGAACAAAGACCAAGCCAGGCTCCTGCTGGCCTTAGATCAGTTGTAGTGTTTGAAACGAAAACATTCTCTGTTAGACGTAATATTTGATCTCCCTTAATTTGTAAACTCGATTCTTCAGAAAAATAAGCAACCCAAACAATGATGTTACGCTGCATTTAAAGAAGTAAATCTAAAAGATAAGGCGGAATATGCAGATAAAAGTAAGTGTCCTTTATCTGGAGATAGAACTAAATATTGAGATGTTGCCATGCATACATCCGGCAGTTTACATCTTTCTGGGTGGTTTGCTTTTATATACAGCACAGTGGAAACCATTACTGATAAACGTGAGTCAAAGGAAATCTTAAAAATAATATAATAAAATCACGTATGGCAGTCGGCTGGGGTAAAAAAAATTGATAGGAAAGAGGGAAAGAAGGGTCTGGGCAGAAAGACTGGAAATTGGACGAAGATCAAAATGGAGGGTATAGAAATGAAATATATGGAGATAACGTACAGTATTCAACCTCAAAAGTCCATTAAACATACAAATTTGGAGCAGAGCAAACACAGACATCCAAATCATCAGAGGTGGGATCAGGTGTCATGGAGGAATGAGCATCCCCTGCCGACCGGCCACATCCATATAAATAAATTAAGCCTCTCCCACTGCTGCATTCGGTGTAGTTTATTTTTTATTTATTTATTTTATTATATTATTTACTTATCTTTTAACCGTATATTTCTGGATTTCTGAAAATAATAGAGTGATAAGCATGTTTATCTCTATACTGACAATTATTCAAATTGCTTGGAGTCTCTTTGACTTTTTCAGCTTCAAATAAATCGTAAATGACGTCCGCCTGTATAACACAGCGCTCCGTGACTCTACAAGACATGGACGTGTTTGATATTCTGGAATTGATAGTAAAATACTTCCGCACCCGGGGCCGCTATCTTTGACATTAATGCCGATTACGGCCAGTTCAGGTGAAAATTATACAAATTACAAGGCTTGACTGCGACTTGTATGTTTTTATGAGCGTTGTCTATCGATCTAAGTCTCTTCTCTCTTCCGCCACAGTGTCCTCTGCCGCGGATTAAACTGTTTTGTTTATATTTGTTGCTGTAGCAACGTCTCTTTTCTACTAATCACCTGGCATTGGGATTTTTTTGTAAATTAGATCCACTATACATCAAACAATTCATGCGCGTCAATCTCTCCATAAGCTGTTGTTTATCTTCAGAATACCAAGTATTCTTATTCAAGAAGCACCTCAATTAAATCGCCCTAAATCTGTGACATTTCTATAAATACTTGGTCGAAGCCCCCAGCCTCCCTTGTCAACAAGAAGAATTAACTTCACTAACCTAGATAGAACTTCCGGCCAGCTTAACCGTCATTGTCAGAAACTGTCGTCTTTGTTGTGACATCCACGAAGCTTGCAAGAGACTGTCAAATATCCAAATGTAGAATTAAAGCCAACGCAAAGGTAAGAGGCATGTTTAATTATATCGAGAGCTTAAAAATCAAAAGCTTTGAATAGAGAAACACAAAAGTACGAGAGGGCACTCCAGGTTAGATTAACTTCATTAATTGTATTTATTGAGAGATGTTAATTTAAGCCGAGAAAACAATATATTGAGAAGATAAGTCGATAGTTTGTAAATGAAATTGAATGACAATGTTCACAGCCAAGCGTGCCGCAGTCATTGATTAATGCAGTGCTCCAGGAAAATATATATCGTTTAAATCAACTTCACTGATATACCAAAAGCTTACATTGCAACATTCTCTCTCTCTCTCTCTCTCTCTCTCTCTCTCTCTCTCTCTCTCTCTCTCTCTCTCTCTCTAACGACGACTTATCGGACTGCACCGTAGGCATGTGGAATTACTTTTAAGTTTGTCATTTGATTGTGACGTAACCATCAATAGATCCGATTAAAGGATTAACAATAGCACGCACGTGCACACTGCATTAGGCAAACACTCATCTCCTTGCAGATCTAAAAACATGAATACAGAGTATAATTACCTGTTAAAATACTGAACAAATATTTACGAAAAGGTTTAATATATATTTGACAGGAAAACGAAACAAATGTTTCATTGCAAAAATTCCATCGTGTCATATTCTGTCTTTGTTTAATTTTCAGACTAATTTCACTTTTTGTGTTTGAATGAATCTTTAAATTCAGAATTCTACTTCAGATTTGACATCTGCTAAATACAACAAAGATGAGAATTAAAACTGTCTGATTAATACAGAGTATCGGATCTGTAAAAGACATCTGGACCAAATTTCAACATAAGTTCAGACGACTGCGGTCACATCAATGATATACAGACAGTGAGGGGATAGATTACTTTGGACATCTGAATACTATATGGGATTCATGTATCGTATTTAAAAAATAGAAAACACATACGGGTAAGTTTTGACAGATCTTTGTGGCGGGTCCGTATTGATTACAGTGTATCTGTTCGCGGTACCATCACTTCTATGTCGTTCTTTGAATATTGATCTGAAGGCTTATTGTGCAATTAAATATTTTTTCCATCATTTCAGATGACAGCGTTGAATATTGCGGATGTGAAATTACCCTGCTAATAAGGTAAGTCACATCTACACAAAAATTGGATATCTATCTTTTCAATCAATATTTCATCTTGATAATATTTACTTATTGAGATGGATTCATATTTAATAATCAGTTTTACTTATTGAGTTAATCTATAGAAATATTGAAGTGTGCATTGTTGGAATTTAAATCTAACTGACGTGCAGCGTTGCTCCTTCGGAGTAGAGAATAATGGACGAATAAAAGCGTTAAAGAGATTCAGAATGGCCGTAAATTAGAAATTAAACCACATGTTTAAAGAAAACATAAGCACACTCATAAACTAATCCCCCACTGGCGAGACGCAACGGATTAACCATACACTTAATGCCAATATTGGATTAAAGGTGAAAGTGGGAGATAAAAGGATTAAAACACCTTCTTGTCTGGTGAAACACAATTTATATGTTTGCTGATTTTGTCATCTGGGACCACTGATTGTGTAATAGATCAGTGTGGCCTGATCAGTCCATTGTATACTATAAACTATAGACTAGATACACGCTGGTCTCCCGGAGTTGTGTTTAGATTTCAGGTGCATAAAACTTTGTGATGGATTTAATTTTAACGAATTTAATCTCGTTTATAAAAGGTAAGACATAAAGGCATGCAGATTGGCATGTTTTTCTTTCCACAAACATTTCAGGAACAATTCGTTGATATTAGGCCTATTTTATTTGAAGAAATTCTAGGAAAAAATTCAAGAAAAATGTTCCCAAAATATGAGGATGTCAACTCATTCTGAGTATTTTGCTTTTGCTTTAAAATTAATGACATTTAAATTTGGTTTGATGATTCAGTCAAAATATTGTAATAATCCAGTAAAAATAGTGAGTTATTCTCCAATTAGCCAATTTTTAATTCTATTCAAATGGCGATATTCTGATTATTCAAAAAACATAAAATAGAACATATATAAAAAACATATAATATATCGTGATATATAAATAAAATCATATAGGAAATTTGTAAAAGACCTCTAATTTTCTTGGTTTATTTAACATTTGGGGTTTGATATATAAAATAAATAAGTTAAATATAAATTTATGAAATAAATAATAATTAACACCAATAACATATTTTTCTTAAAACATATGAACAACTCTTTTGAATAAATTTCTTATTTGCAAAGAAATAATTTGTTTATTTCAATCAAAAAAAGATTTTATAAGCAATTAAACATATGATACAAGAAGCTAATATCATACATATAGAAAAAATGTGTCTAATAAAATCTTTGAAAAATTAAAAAAAAAAAATGCATACCAATATTCTTAAATTCTTCTATATTACATTAATAAATACATTAATGTGTCATGACTTTATTGCAAATAATACATCTCAATATTAGCTTATCATATGCATGAATTTAGTGTATATGGAGAGAGAGAGGGGGAGGGAGGAAGAAACAATATTCTTAAAAATTGTGTAAAGAAGAATTTTATTTGAAAATAAAGGATCAGATAAAGTGAATGGAAAATTTCAAATCTGGTAAGAGATTTCTGTTAAGCAGAAAAATGTTCTGTACAAAAATTTTAGCCTTGGCATTTTCAGTAAATCGTGCTGCATTTATTTACAAAAAAAATTTAAAATTCGAAAATTTGTACAAAAATAATTCATTGCAATCGCTTTAAAACATGCGTTTCAGAATACTTTAATGTACATATTAGGATGAAATCAGTTCAAGGACTCTTTTAAAACTTTTAAATTATTATCTTATAATGAATTTTTTTTTTTCGCAAAAGAGATATTGTTGATCGAGGAGAAAGAAGGGGGTTGGGGAGGGTTAATTTTCTGTTCACACGCCTATGTGAGGAGACATACAAGGATAAACGTAGATATTAAACTAAAACTGTTAGGTTCTTGAAGGAGATTATGGTCGATAAAATAAGTAAATTTTAAATATAAAAGCGAGTTTAAACAGAAAAGCTGAGTATTGAAGGTGAAGAGAGGTGGGAGGGAAGCTTTGATTTTTTTGTATTGTTTTTGGCATCAGTACTTTCAGTGTGTAGAGCGATATTGTTGAAGTTGATGCGATCGATTTTAAGCCCGGGTTTAAGCGAACAGAATATTAAAATTTAAAACGTTTCTACAAACATTTTTTTATTACTAGTACTTAAATATTTGCTTTCTCATTACCATCACACGACAGCGTTTTACTGCGCTAAGTAGTCAGTCAGAAGGGTTAATTCTCTACACATAGTGATTTTCAGGTAAATTGAAATGTAAATAAAAAGGTGTCGAGCTCAACTTAGGGTGAGGCTAAAATGAGATATACTTGTTACATATGCGTTGTCCGTATAAATTTCTTTATTTTTCCAGAATAAGTACTTTTTAATGGTGCTAAGTTAGGTGAAATTCAAACAAGTACTAAATACCTGTATGAATTTCACCGAACTTTATAGCAGAAATAAATTGACATTCATGTACCCTGCACTCATTGGGCAGGAAAGCGGGTCTAAAACTATTTTAAAGAATAATAAATACAAAGCTACAATCCTTGGCATCAAGCAGTCAAACTGTTAGCATGACTGTAACACAAGTACTGACTCCTTTACGAAAATTGGGGTAGTCCCGTTCACTTATAAAACTTCATACTTATGACTTTCCCTACCAATTTCACATAAATCTGCGTTTTCTAGGTGGGGTCTGCGTTTTTAAGGGGGTTCCTAGGTCAGTTTTACTTGGATTACAATATACATTTAAACATTTAAAAACTGCTAATTCCGGACTCCCTCCCCCCTTATATCCGCTCCAGTCAATCAACACGTTGCAGTGGAACAGGTACGGACTTTCCAAGTGCATATTTATCTCTTAAAAACCTCTGAGATGGGATTAGGTGCCATGGAGGCGTAAGCATCTCGACCGGTCACGAGCGCAATGTTTCTTGTAATCATTCCCACCCTTTCCGAGTTGTGCTTGCCGTTATATGGAATTCATTAAAACAGTTCACCCCCTCTCTTCTAATTTTTTTCTGGGACTAATATTAGTATATTAGGTGCTCATCTCATTGACAGCATTATGAGGATGTTGACCGATTAACGCCTAAAGGCGGATAAAATATTCCGACATAGATAAGGGCTACATACCCGACAGCCGGCCATAAATCATGTCGGTACTGCAGAAACATTGCTAAACAATTATTCCGAAATTTTTATTCGATTATTGGACAATTTACATCGATTTGTGAAAGATATGATAATATATTGCCGAAGGGTATTGATGCGTTCCCAAAAATTAATTAATTACTGTCATTTATATGGTAAATTGTAGCGGACTTTTTTTTTAAAAGCTGGCTACAAATGTTTTTCTAATAACCAAATATCTTATTACATACCAGCTATCTAGAGCCGAGGTATTTCATCCATTTGTTACATTCTTGATTGGAGATGAAGCATAAACGCCATCATCAGCAAAGATAGTGAGGATAATTAAAAATTACTGATAAGGTGCTAAATTATAACAAGATCAATTGGGAAATCAATTTTCTTGTTTTCCCAAATAAATTTATGATCTAGGGAACCGCCCTGTTGTTATTAATAAATTTTATTAACTAAAACATCTTTGGATGTGACAGAGCGGTATGCTGCTTCTCCGTCTGTAGGAAAATACTGAAACTTCTTTCCTTTGCAAATGAAAGTAGAAAATAAAGATTCTTTAGAAAATCTTTGAAAATCTTTTCTAGAACAGCAGTATTATTCAGGCGCGGATTCGGGAATTTTTTTCAGGGGGTCCACCCTACTCCAAAAAAAAATCCAGCCCAGAAATTTCTTGACAAGCAAGAAAAAAAGAAGGTAAAATCACTTCTTAGAAGTACAAAAGTATTTGGGGGGATTACTTTTAAAGCTTCATACTTAGAAATTTTCAAACCAATTTCACGTAGATCCGCGGTTTCGTGGAGGGGTCCGCGTTTTCGGGGGAGGGGGGGGGGGTTAGATCACTTTTTTCTGGTTTAGTATATGAACATTAAATAACTCTGCAGATTCCAGTCTCCGGAACTATAACTACCCCATCCCAAACAACCCCCTCTAGATCCGCGCATGTTATTATTTTGTTTTAAAGTAAATGCAAAATTCACAAAATGAAACTTCCGTATAGTACGTATACATATTCGTCCAACTCATGACTCCCCTTCCACTTTTAGCTAGGATGGGGAAACAATAATAATGCCTAGGATTTATACAATAAAATATAAAGATAACGAACAATGTTCAAACAAAAGTTCATTCAATCATTACAAATCAGGGGCCCGCTTCACAAAAGGACTTGCGACCTAAGACCAAAGTTAATTGTTCATATAACTTAATGATTAACATTATATCAAAAATTTTTTAAACCTTTTAAAAGGAATGTGGTAAGATATTTTTACACAAACAATTTCTCAGAGAATTATTAATTTTGCAAATTTGGAGATGGGTGAACATGACGAGAGATAAGCCCATAGTGCAACAAACATGAAGGTGAAAAATTAAATCTCAATTATATCAAAATTTTCCTTGATTTTTCATCTAACGTTTAAGTATACTTTATGTAAAATTTCTACAACTTGCACAAATCTCATGAAGATTGAAGTTATTTGGCTATGAAATATTATACACACACGAAAGAGGACAAAACGAGTCATTTTTTCACACTATAACACTATTTTTCGATATGAGTGGGTCTTCTCTCCATTTTTTTGAAAGTTAATCTTTACAGTTTGTATGCATACATACATATTTTGGTTTCCAAAACTATGGAGCAAAGGCCCACTATACCTTAAAAATATAATTTTATGACATAAATTTCGTATCTTTTCGAGAAATATTTGAAGTGCCTTAAGTTAATGGTCATATCACAAACATGATTTAAATGCCACAAACTAATGCCTAGGTCACATTTCCAGGCCGGTAGCCGTAGACCGGTGGTAATCGGTAGTAATCCGTGGTGTTAACGATGCCTCAACATCGGTCCACATCGGCCAATAGTCCTTAAAGTATCAGTCACATTATTCAGCGATGGGGTATACGATGGACATCCAATGCGTTTTATGAGAAAAATGGCGTGGTTGCTGGCCGGACTTACAAAGGCCTAGCGATGCATTGCTAATCATAAAACGATGTTCCAGGATAATCGGCCGATGTATATTACATCGCTTATACATTGGTGAACATTGTTTGTACATCGGTTCGACTACGGGCCAATGTTTGGTCGAACATCGACCGATGATCGGTCGTTATCTGTTGAACACCACTAAACTCCCCGATGACCTCAGATTCAACAGATCTTGGACGACGCTCGGCCAAACATCGGCCTATCCTTGAAAGATGTGTTAATGATGGGTTGCCGATGAGGAGCGATGTGAGGCATCGTTGGAGACATCGCTGAATTTTAACAACGAATTATTTCCTACCGATGACCCCACCGATTCGCAAAAAAACTCAGTCACCGTCCGATCACTAGTGGTGCCCGGCCGGCAACCACGCCATTTTCATCAAAAAACGCATCGGTTTCTCATCGTACACCCCATCGTTGGATAATGTGACTTATACTTTACAGAACTTGTGTAGCGTAGTGGTTAGCGTGCTAGTCTCAATAGAGAATGCAATTCAGGATTTTTATTGCCATGGTTCGAACCCAATGGATACCACATTATTTTTTTTTTTTAAAAAGAATAATTTTTTTTCTCTTTCTTTTTTTTCTATTTCTTTTTTTTTTCTCTCTTTTCCTCTAACGTGATGGATAACAACCCGTCGGTCGAATTCCTCACGTTTCAAAATTGAACCAAACTTGCATAGGTTTTTGGAATAAATTTTAACGAAAATTTTTCCTCAAAAATTTTTGTTTATCATGATTTCATAAAAATCAATTATTAGAACTTAATTCTAAATACAAAATTCACAATTTGAATATGATTTTTATATGTCTGAAGCTAATGGGCTTTCTGAACGCTAAGTTCACCCATCTCCTTTTTCAATCATCTCGAGTTTGTGGTCTTAGTCGGAAGTTCTTTTGTAAAACGAGCCCTAGGAACAGAGCGAACACTGACCTCTTAAACATCAAAGGTGTGATCAGGTGCCATGGAGGAAAAGCATCCCCTGCGGACCGGTCACACCCGCCGGTGCTTCTTGTCATGATTTGGAAATAACGGGAAAAACGTCCACAATTTAGTGTGAACATGTATATTGTTTAGGATATTTGAGTAAAATGCTAGTAACACAAACAATATCATGTAAATGTCAAACTGAAATAACTTTGATCAGAACCAGCAATATAAGTTTATGAAATGCTATAAACTGTAGAAAGTCAAAGAATGCAAGCATCAGGTTTGTCCTGATCGTATTCCCATTGGCGCAACAATCAGTGTTCCAAAGCAAGAAACAATTATAATTAAAAAATTGAAGCAAATGTTATAAAAATCCTATCCAGAGTTTATGATTTTAATGTCCATTAAGCAAGAGGAAAGGCTATTGTTTTTCAATTATCCAAAAGTATGTCAGAAAAGGGGGGAGGGGGTTAAGGTGAGCTTTCATGTCCAGTTCAGTGTTCTTGCTTACCCCCTATACTTATTGACTGAAATGTAAGGGGAATATTTACACCATTGATGTTTAGAAATTTACGGAAGAAAATTTGATATATTAATTAACTTACTTCAGCGAGTACGCTTTATTTATGTCCTCGAAGGTTAAGGTTCAAAGCAACAAAAAAGATCTAAAATAGCAAAAATGTATTTGAATACTGTGTTAGAAAATGAAGTTGTCAAACTTAAGCTATGTTACGTAAGACATTTCAATAACAAAAGATCCCGGGGTCCCACACGTCGACTGTTCCATTACTTTAAAGCAAAAGACAAATTTAACACGCTAATGGACGACTGATGCAAAGCAATTCTGTATTGTGAATCAGTGATTGTGTCCTTTCTCTAATGTACTTGTGCAATAAAGGAGAACACAGAAATGTTATTAAGGAGTCATTGTTGTATGGATTTGCAGGATGATGCTGCAACTGTCAATTCTAGCAAGAAAACAATCATTGTTTAACTCCCTTCACTTCACAGGTCAAGAGGAAGTAACATTAAGACAAAACATAAACGAAATGAAAATTCCTATTTAAATGTCAGTATCGGCTCAGCTCAGTTTAATCACCATCTAACGCGTTCACTGACATCGATTGCTAGGTAGAACCTTGTAATCCTAATTTGTAAAATTCCATTTATGCATGAGGAATGCAGAAAGCATGCATTTTAATTTTTTGCGTATGAATGTAATTAGTCAGTTGTTATGATAATAACCTGGATTATTCTCATGTTTTCTTTTAAGTAGACTGTATGACATGAAGAAAAGAGACCCACAGAACTAATTCGAGAGAGATGGCAAGTGAAGTATGCCAACCGCAAAGCGGTCACGTGATTAACCAGCACGGAATGTCACGCCCGACATCAAAACGGTACAGCCTCGCGCTTAGTACCTCTAGACCAAAAACGGATCAGCCGTCCATAACACCACGTGACCTAGCAGATTGGACCGATCAGGAATCTATGGCCACAGAAAGGTCCAGTATCCTGCAGAGGCCAATGACCGCTAGACCCATATCGAGAAGAAGTCGAACATTCGTCACGACGGATGAAAGTGGTTCAAATAACACGTCATATCATACTTTGGAAAGAAATATGAAAAATATACAAGGAGCAAACCCGACACATGCTCCGACCCTGATAAACAGTTATTACAACCACAGTCCTGGGTACGAGTTTGAGAAGTTTACCGGTAATATCCGAGACGACGAGGAGTATTACCTGGATATGGACCCAATCGAATACTTCTACAGCCCAGTGTTCGATTTGTATCCTTATGGCTACATACTGAAAAATCAGTCAAAAACAATTCAGACACCAAAGAAATATTCTAATATATATCCCTCAAAAGGAGATTTTGAAACCAAAGAAAATCAAAATGATAACTTTTTGTCTTCCAAGACAACAAATGAGACGGGAAGCACGGATCCTAAAACCCCCAAACCCGTGAGTGATTTTTCATTAAAAGCAAATCCCTTTCCCCCTCGCAGTCGTCTCCCCGTCCCTATTGCAAATCCCAAGTTTAAGAAAGCAATACCTAAACATGATAGCACTCCACCTGTTCAAAATATCGAATATCGCAGGGATTTGTTTGAACCGAAACAGAAAATAACAAAGATGGGTTCATTAGCAAACAATTCATCATTAAGGTCGCACGACTTTCAAACAGAGCAAACAAAGGCGCCAAACAAGCGCGGAGACACCTTCTCCAACCCTAAAATCAATTACCTTGGCGCTAAAAGAAAACAAAATGATACATTGGTGAAATCAGGATTGTCTAATTCAAAGTTTGAAGTAGTTGATAGAGATCAGGAGAACAGAACAAACAGCGTGATTACTCGCGATTTGGATAATCATCTGACTGGGGACGACTCAAATAGTCGCTTAAAGTCTCGCGAAAAGTGTTCTTATAACAGATTACGAGAGTATTCCCATAACTCGCCTAATTACAGTGTATCAAAAAAGCCCTCGGAATTGAACATTGAAAGATCTCCGGTGAGCGGAAAACAATCAGTAAAGTTCCATGACAACCAGAAGAGTCACAAGTTCAGTGAGAAATGGACTCCGTCAGGGCGTACGCTGGATAGTCATTCGATTCTGACAAAACACAAATCAAATGTAACGAACCAGCAACCTCTCTTTAGGCCTAAAGCACCGGAAGTCCATAATCAGATTAAGTCACGTGATCATAATGCAACCAGGAGACCTCTTTCCGAGGATATAAACAGTGTGATGACGAAGGAAAATAACTCATCAGAAGTTAAAGCGGACAGACTTCAGAATTCTCCTGTCATTGGGAAATACAGGCACCCTTATTTGAGAACAGGAAAGCAACTGAGCCTGCCGAAGATTCGCCCGCAGACGGAAAAACCACCATTGTTAGAAGTCAAGGCCCCTAACTCACCTCCCAGAAAACTGAAACCAGTGTTAGTAAAATTTGATAACATGCATTTCTGAAATAAACAGAAATCTTTCATCACTTTATATTTTTTTGTGCTGCAGACAGTACTGCTGTACGTTTCTTTTAACAATTGTGCTGAATTCTTTGTCCGTGGAGACAATGCATTTATTTTATTTTACGCTTTTCATTCCAAGTGCTCTGAAAACTTTTTTATATATATATAATTAAGCAGATCAGTGTTGTAATTGTTGATCATATACATCAACTCAAGCACGATTTGAAAAACTCTTGCCAGCTCAGTCTATGATATAAACAGTTTTTATTGTGTGTTTGAACTGAGAGTTACAATGGTGCTTATATCTTGTAAAAGAAAATCTCTGTGAGATTCATTAATAAACTGAAAGTGAGTAACGTTCTGTGCCAAGACAAGGTCTCATTGCAGATTTTCTCCAGAATTAAGACTAATTAACATTCCCTTTCCCTCTCAATAGAATCATCAGAACAGATCTGACACGCGGGGATTGTTGAAATTTTATTCTCATTAGTAGTTAATCAAAATTTATTGCAGCTTGTCAACAATAGGTCTACACAAATCCACACATTCATGTGCTACCTATTTTAATTAAAAGAAAAAAAACAGTTCTGTTTAATATTGTCAAATTGATCAAAGATGGAATTTAAAACATTTGTATGAAAGACCCCCGATTCTGCTCAGGGTATGGCAATTGCCAAGCGAATGCGAGACACAATGGGCAGTCGACTGATATACACATATAACAAATAATGAAGTTTTTGTCATGTCGTATTCATGTCGACAAATTCGTATATAATGATATGTTTGAGTCCATGTCACCAAGATTCTCTTGTCGTTAAACGGGAAAGTAAACTTATTAAATTTTCCATTTAAGAAAGATTTCCCAATATCTAGATGTGCGCAAAGATAAATATATTTAATTGTGATATTGTTATTACTGTTAATAAATTGTGACTTGAAAACGTTTTCTTTGTCTTTGAAATAATAAAGAAAAACGTTGTTTTAAAGACGCAGAATGGCCTTTTTCAAGAATCATAAAAAACGAAGGTAAAGAGATAGAACATTCATTAAAACAGGAAAGTAAAAGCGTGTGACAAATGAGTAAAAACAATTTTGTTTATCGATTGGGAAAACATTAGTTCTGTGGATCAAATTCCCCATTAAATTTTGAATTCTTTTATGTAGTGTTGTCATGGATACTTACAATAACAGTTGCGAAATATGTCCTTGTAGGATTATCGTCACAGAATAAAAATATAAAGTATGTAGGCTTTTTAGGCAAATTAACATAACTAAAATTCAATTTTTTATCCAATAAAAAAAATCAAAACATTTCATTCGACCAAGGAAAAAATAATCCGACGCGTAATTTGTATGTACGAGGGCCATTCAAAAAGTTTGTTAACATCATATCATTACCCAATTTGGAACACGTGTTTTGCAACGGATTCGAACAAATTGGAATATATTGATTATCAAAGATTTAAGATGGCCAGAATGGGGTCACGGACCAGGGTCAAAATTTGGTTGTTTACTAATTATACACTTTATAATGTCTATACCTTTAGCGAAATAAAATTTAAATGTTTAAATAAATTTTTTTGTTTATAAACTTTTTTGTAAACATTTGTTGTAAAAGATATATTTTTCTAAAGACTAGTTATTAAAAAAGCAAAAAAAAAAAAAAAAGTTTAAAAAAAAATGAGAAAGCTATTGAGCAACCTAGTAAAATTTTGTTTGCAGTTGGAAACCTTAAAACAAACTTTTATGATTACAAGAAAAAATATATGTAAAAGAGCCGTGCATTTGTAAATGTAAATGAAAGAACAATAACAAGTAATTTTTTTACGATTCAAATGAAAAATTAAAGAATACAAATAGAAAATTAAAGAATACATATGGAAAATTATACAATATAAATAGAAAATTATAAAATACAAATAAAATTTATACAAAACAAATAAAGAAATATACAATAGAGATTTTTAAAAAATTATTACAAATTGTAAATTCTTATATGTAACTTCCAGTTTAAAGGCATAATACATTAGGCAAGGAATCAAAAGTTTTTATTTATTTTTTTATTTTTATTTCGTTAAAGATAAATAAATTCAAGTTTGGGACATTTTTTACTTTTTCTGAAATTTTTTGTTGTTCTCCACTTTTTTTCACGCCACTTTTTGTAAACTAAACCTGTCATAATAAATTCAAAAAAAAAAAAAAAAAAACAAGAATACAAATTTAGCCGTAACTTTTTAAATATTGGATGAAATGCTTTGAAAGTCAAAACACATAAGAATAAATCAAAACACATAAGAAATCAAAATAAAAACACAGTCATAAGAAATAAGTCAATATCCCTGACAAAAGGGCGTATGTAATAATTAACAGATAACAATATATAGTAATCAAATCAGTTTTGCACGTTTAACTACAAAACTACAATTAATCGTTCTCAATAGCTTACTTACACTTAGTTAGTACTAACAAAAAAAAATCTCAAAGCAAATAAGTCAAAACAAAAAAGTTATAACAAATAAGTCATAACAAGTAAGTCAATGTCCCTCCAGGGCTTCCGTAGTAATGTCTATAGCCATACCTTTAGCGAAATAAAATTCAAATGTTTAAATAAATTTTTTTCTTTTATTTCAAATGCTAGAATTTAATGTAATACATATCTTCATCTAAAATATATATTTTTTCTAAAGATTCAACTCCAACGTTAAATAATTAAGAAAAAAAACCCCCCCCCCCCAACCGCCCCACACACACAAAAAATCAAATTAATAAAAAAAATGACTGTTAAACTCAAATAAATGACCCACATAAAATTTCAGGAAAAGCAGCGAAAGTGTATTAAAATATTTCAGTTTCCAAAGTATATAAAATTTTAATTTATGCAGAAAAAATTACAAATCCGTGAGTTTAAAATTTAAGTGCAGAACAAACTGGCATATAAATAGCCTATTTTTTAGATGTCGTTAATAGCATTCGATTCTACTGATTTGAAATAATATATTTAAAAGATCCTTTGTTGCATTGAAATTTATTTGTAAATGAAATAGCGATTTTGTATATGAAAAATCAATATACAAGTAATTTTTTTATTTGCATTCATGAAAAAATATTGAAAAATTAAACAATACAAATGACGCGAAGAAAATTAAAAAGAATACATATTGGAAAAAATTATCAAAAAACCTTTATATAATTTAAAAGTATATAAAATACAAATAAAATTTATACAAAGCAAATAAAGAAATATACAATAAAAGTTAAAAAATTACTTTAACCCTGCCTTGTCGTCGGAATAACAAACTTTTGTTAAAGTTCGATATATTAAAAATATGACATATGCTTAAAAATAGTAAATTTATATATGAATTTTTTTCTTTGATTCGCGGGATAGAAAGATATGTTAATCGCTTAATCAACATGCCATAATCACCTTGCATATGCATGTACATGTAGCATGCAAAACGTTAAACAATATATCGTTGAAAGTTTTATTTATTTTTTATTTTTTATTTGCATATTTATAAAATAGAGGAATTACCATTATTGGTTTTGATTTACATCTACAAACTGTATTTTTTACCATGTTTTACTGTAATTTAAATTTCAACTAATAGAGATGTATTAATAGACTATATTATTACATTTATCTATTTAAGTGAATAATATATTTGCCAAAACTGAGAAATGAGCCCTTCAAATAGCGCTGCATATCAATTTCCTATCAAAGTACAAAGCGCTACATAAACCCACTCTAATGATTCGATAGATGTTTTTATGAATCTCCATAGAGCATTTAAATTTACATTTCTAACTTTTTTAATATCACTCTTGAGAATGAAAGACGAGAGGTTTGATTATTTCTCTGTATTTTATCAATAATACATGGTGATAAAAAAGATACCAAAACAAGCTAATACATTTATCGTTTTTGCATCACAAAATCAAACAACAGAATAAGTATGATGAACGGCTATTGAACCTTCTCTACAATAAAGTTTAACTTTTGACTGCAGTTAGCAATTTTTGCAAAAACTCCGCTTTTTCATGCGAACACTTGCTCTGGAGTGAAATGTACAATCTCCGTCACCGTTTGTTATTTGTGACGTCACTTTCTTCCTGAAAATCAAAAATAAATGAATGAAAAATCCAAAATGCACCATCACTTATACAAATGGAATACTATACTAGTATTTAAAAAATACTAGTGATAGATTTAAGGGCGAAAAGATGGCTCAAAACCATTCTATACAATTTTATCAATACTGTGGGTATTTACATGTAGTACTTGGAGGTGTGCTTTATGCCGTACCAATGAACGGTCAAACAGTGGTAGATCATTCAAACAAGAGCAAGCGTTAACGAACAGTATTCAAGCAAGTCTATTAAACAATACAATATAGGAGCAGAGCAAACAACAACCATTTAAACATAAGAGGTAGGATCAGGTGCCATGGAGGAGTAAGCATCCCCTGCCGACTGGTCACACCCGCCGTGCGCTCCTTGTCATGATTGGAAAATAACAGAAATTCGTTAATTCAAGGTATAACTAATGGACTAACAAAACGTATGAAAAATGTCAGTCAGCGTTTGACTCAATGATAAACTGTATTTCCTGACAAGGTCATTGTATCGACCATAGAACTTACGGAATGATATCTTTAAACGTGATTGCTAATAATATTGTTTCATCAACTTTTTTGTCAATAATTTACTCGTTTTAGAATTTGTTCATACGTAGAGCAAGCTCTACTAAGAAATATAACTCCGTATACAGGCAATAAAGGTATACTGATCACTTTTATCGTAGAGCTTGGTTGTTAGATTACCATTAATGTCTTTTTCAATATCTTAACTAGTTTTTTTTTTAAATGTTCAAAACATGCTCTTGCGTATCGAATCAACTGAGAAATAAAAAAATCCGTTTGCAGGTGATGAAGGTATATTGCTGCATAAATAAGGGAAGTTGACGGTAGAAAAGTTAAAGTCATCACGTTTGTCATCCGATGGCTGTTCAATAAATAATGTCCTGAACTGTATGACATACAATACAGATATCATATGACATTAAGCTTGACTTTTTCGCATTATTCAATCTTTAATGAATTTATAACAAATTATGTGACCACTTTTCATCACATAGTTTCATTGTGAGAAGCTGGAAAACAAGGGCTATTCGAGACACTGCATGTAAAATGAATGGTAAAGAATCAGGAAACTAGTGTGAAATTAAACACTTCATTTAAGCTGCTGTAAAACTCGTTAAGAATGCCAAAGAAATATTCACTGAAATATATAACATTTACAGCAATCAATGTCTGTTTTATTGACAAATGAGCAGGCGGATTTAAATGATAAAAAAAAATTATATAATGGGCATCAAAAATGGGTACCGTCCTTGCCAACAAAAATTATAACAACTCATGATACTGTTTGTCAATTTTCAACAAATAATCACTGATGAAGTATGATTGACTTTAAGACACATAGCAAATTTAATAGACATCATTTCGGGAGTAGTTCACACTGTTTTAAAGAAATGTTTGACAGTAAAAAAGCTTAGTATTCAAAGGTCACCCTATGTTTTGAAAAATGAGTGAAAACGACAGCATGTAAGAATATCTAAACAATTACTTTAAAAAATGAAAAAAGTAGGTATCCAAGTTTGTTTGAAATTCAGACAAATAATGAAACTTGAATCTATTGCTTAAAACCATCGAAACAAAATTTACAATAAGTGTACTTGACAAAAACAGCAAAGGTCTGAGAAAAGCAAAGAATTGCAAGAGCACAAAGACATATTTCTATGCAATTTTCTTAAATATATGTGCTCTTGTTTGTTAAAATTCGTATTCGGGGAGGCAATTTAATTTCTGGCAGAGTCA